ACATTCATTGAGCAGTCTTGTTAATCTTATTCCTTGCTGTTCCCACTAGGTTTCAGTAGTTCTGTTGTGATCTGGGGTAAATGAGAGACTTTGTCATTCTTTAATGTTCTTATTGCTTGCTTAGTTTTGCTTTGATCATGGCCAGGTCTACATATAGGACTGGATACACTAAAATATATCGTGGCTGACCATCGTTGATTTTGTACCTCTTTGAAATTCTCTACATAGCATATTTCTTGTTTTTCCTTTATGAGCAGAATCTTCCAATTTTTATCCTTGAAAGGAATCATTGGTCTTCCCCTTTGCTCCTGTTACGTCTCAGACAATACAATATATACAGTATATTTTTATTCACTGCTACTTCTGCCCCAATTCCTTTGTCTTTCAACCTTTTTTGTTTTTGTCAGCCCAGCATATTCTTTTGAGCTTAAGGTCCAGAGCTTGACAAAAACAGGGAAAAAGAATTATTATTTTTTTGCCAGTTTCTTACAAATTGGATTACCGAGACCAAAGTTACCTCCTTGGAAAATCCTTTCTTTTGCATGCATTAAACAAGGAGATGAAATCTGACCGACAGTTGCGATTTCAGTATTTGAAGTTTGTTCTGTCATCAAGACTAGAGTTCTTTTTGTAATTTCTCATTCTGTCTGACTTTCTTGTTCCCATGCTGCTTTTTAGAAGGCAGAAATATGCAAAGATTGTAACAGTGCCAAAAATACCCGATAGAAATGTCATTTGGCTATGTGTTTCTTACAAACAGACAAACACACACTAGGTTATCCTTTCAATCAGCCAGCTTGAAGAGAGAGAAAAATTTCTCATGTTATTTGGAACATCATTGAAAAATCCTTATTTTAGAATACATAGCCAGAGATAGAATTCAGATGGTTTGGATATGTTATTGCCTTCAACTTTCTTATATTTTTAGGGGATACTGACTATGTATTCTGTAGCAATATTCCCAGGTATATGTATTTTAGAGTGGCTGAGATCAATGATGCTTGAACATTTGCTTTCTCTTTAAAAAAAGATATGTAGGATAATTTAACAAAGGTCCCACTAGCCATCATCTTTCATCAGTCTAGGCTGATGCACCAAATGCAGCCCAATTTAGATAAACATGGTTTAGTTTAGTATTGCAGAATATATCCAGTATATCAAGCACAACAGATTGATAGTATTAACTATTCACTGAATTCTAGATAAGTTCATATTTCTTATTACCAAGTTACTAAGGCAATCTTTATTGGCACTAAATCAAAACATTGGGTAGCTACCCTGTAATTGCTGTATTATATTTGATTAATAACATGCCTTTAAACTGTGTCCACTTTTAATGACGACTTTAGATAGGCTTTCTCCAGGATGATCTGTCTCTCCAAGTTGGTCCTTCAGGTCTTCCAGCATGCATCTACAATGTTTCTTATTTCTCAGCTTTTTCTAAAACCAGCTTGAACATCTGGCACTCCCTTTCTATTCAGGCTGTAATGTATGTTGGATAATCCTATGCATTGTTTTGCTAACATGTAAAACTAAAGATGGTGCTCATACATTAGTTTGCATACTTTGTTTTTATAGATTTTGTTGTTGCTGCTGCTGCTGCTAGCTATCATTTCAATTCCAGCAGCCCACTTTGTAATGACTGGAATACTGATCTAACTTTATATTCTAGCACTAGAATAAGTAAGGAATGCAGAGGCGTGGTGGCTCATTGCCTTAAAGGTGCTGGAGATGGTTTCTGCTCCAGTGGTTTAAGTCCTTGCACCATGTGGCGGAGTGTTCTGCTCACCCAGCAGTTCAAAAACATGCTACATGCAAGTAGATAAATAGGTACCAGTTCAATGGGAAACGTGGTGGTGTTTCATGTGGATGGTCAGACCCTGCCAGTGATGGACCTGTTCGGATGTGATGCCTGACTGCGAGGCAACATCAGTGGTGAGAGAAGGCCCCAGATGACACCTTAGGATGACACCATTCTTCTTTCTGGTGTGGAGCCAGTTTGCCCCATGATACACCATGGATAAGCGTGTGAGCATGAACTAAGCGGAGTAGCACTCTTTGGCAGCCAAATAACTACTATGTACTAACACTGTAGTCTCCTAGCTAATTGTACTATCATCATATGCTAAATAAGTAGAGAATATCTGCTAAAGTATCTTGAATATTGACATCTCTCCTGTACAGTATTTCAGTATATTCCTTCTTTGAATGGGTTATTATTTATCCATTAGTGTTCTTTAGCATACCAATTTAAGGTCAAAATCCTTAAAATATCCCTTGTTTTTCTACATCTATTTCCATCTTCAATGTATTTACAAAAGTTGTAATAATTTTGTCATTTCCAACAGCTTTCAACAGCAGGCTCCTCTGCTTATTGAATAAAACTCGGGACTTCAAATCTGTTCCTTATGTTCTCCTTCAAAATGGTTGATATACAGTAAAGATTACATTGTGGGAAGTAGTCTGTTTTCTTTCACTTTAACTTCATTTCAAATTTGACATGAACAATTTGTGATCTATTCCACAGTCAGCCCCTAGCCATGTTTTTGCAGTTACAACTGAGTTCTTTCATCTTTTTGTGCCAATCATGTAACTAACTTATTCTGTATTCCAGGTCATGCCTGTGTGTGTGGACATCCATCTTGATTATTTGAAGTTTGTGTTAGCAAAAACATTCTAGGAGGCATACAACATCGAAATATATAATTATAGGCATGTAATGTTGTGGGCACAGTTGGGACCAGAATTTTGATCGCATTCGTTAAGCGAGTCATCACTTGACAATATCCAGTTTCAGAACCATTTTTACTGCAGTCATTAAATGAATTACCATGATTGTTAAGCAAATTATGTTCTATCCCATAGTCATTATTGAATCCAGCTTCTTCCATTGACTTTGCTTGTCGGAAACCAACTGGGAAGATCGAAAATTACAATCCTGTGACTTGCAAGACGCTACAACGATCATATATGTGTTTGCTAAGAACCTGACTTGCAAACACATGACCGCAGGGGTAATGCAATAGTCACAATTTCGAGGACAAGTCCTAAGTCACTTGTTCTGAAGTCACTATAACTTCAAACCATTGTTAAACGAACAATCACAAACTGGATACTACCAGTAAAATAATTAAAACATGGTAACAAAACATAGCAACACAGACTAAAAAACAACCATAACAATAAAAAAATGAACACAATAACCCTAGGCCTGGTCTTAAGGACTTTCCAGAATCCCAGGAGAATGACCACCATACATATCTCTGGAGGATGTGATTCCAGAACGTAGGGGCAACAATAGAGAAGGCACATTTCTTCAGTCCTACAAGATAGCAATGTTTGACTGAAGGGGCCTTGAGTGTACCCACTCTACCTAAATGTTTTGAGTGGGCCAAAACAACTGGAGATAGATACTCCCTCAAATGATCAAGCCCTATGCTATGAAGGTTCTTCTAGGTGACGTCCAGAACCATGCAGTGCACGCAAGAAACCAAATGGCAACCAATGCATCTAATGTAGGAACAATGACAAATGGGCATGAGAAGTGCCTGTTACAGCTTATGCTGTCACACTGTAGAAAGTAAAGATGACCTCAATAAAAATATGTAAGCTCCATTATCAAAGGGGTTAATCATGTTTTAAGTCGTAGAGATGGAGAGATGGATATACATCAGTAATTGCTCCGATCTAAATAAATTTTCCTTATTACTTGCAAGCGGGAAAAATACTGCACTTCTCAATACTTCTGCCCTGTCAAATAGATTCTGGCTGCATTGTAGCATGTCAGTACATCATGCAAAGTTTTGGAAAGTCCCTGCTTGTGCTTGAGGAGAGGACCCAAACATTTGGAGGCTCACTGGTTGTGTATCAGTGCAGTTTTCCAATAGATATCTGCACATAGCTGCAAATACAAAAATGTGTATGTAAGAAGGTCAGGCATAGTAAATGTATTGCATTGATTAACATTTGGTCCTCCTTGCTTTCTTATGCAAAACATTATAAACTGCAGAGGCACAAAAAGTCTCTGTGGTACACACTCTTGTCCTATTTACTATTCTCTCATAATGAATTTAACTTAAATACTGCCAAAATTATAAACTGACTACAAAAAACAGAGAGATACTACATGCATAGAAAACTCCAAGGGTGGCAAAAAAATCAAATAAAAAATAAGATAACAACAATAATAAGTTGGAAGGGACCTTGGAGGTCTTCTAGTCCAACCCCCTGTTCAGGCAGGAAACCCTATACCATTTCAGACAAGTGGCTGTCCAGTCTCTTCTTAAAAACTTCCAGTGTTGGAGCATTCACAACTTCTGGAGGCAAGTTGTTCCACTGATTCATTGTTCTGTCAGATACAGAAGAAACAAGCCATAGATTAACCCATACAGCCATAAGATTGACATATCAGCATACAAACCAATTTCATCTGGGCAGAACATGCTTAATGGCCAGCATGAACTAAGATGCTATTGAGAATGCAGGAAAGTGAAGATTATTTGAAGGACCATCTTTTCCCAGTTATAGCCAACCAACCCACTGGAGCAGAGAGACTGTAAGTTCCCTATCTTAAGGAGGTCCGTGTAGGGCAGGGCTGTCAAACTCAATTTCATTGAGGGCCGCATCAGCATTGCGGTTGCCCTCGGGGGGGGCTGGGTGGGTGGGCGTGGATGGAGTGGGTGTGGCCTACTGGGTGGGCATGGCCAGCTCTACATCATTCGCGTCAAGGGTGCCTGTGGGGGCCTGGGCAGGAGTGGGACAGATCTGAGGGGCTCTGGCAGAAGGAGGTGGGACTGGGGCAAGTGCCAAGGCATGGTCCATTTCTTCATTCCTCACAAAGGGTGACACCTTCCCAGCATGCACCCAGGGGGCGGGGCTGACACAGCAGAGGCTAGTTCGTCGCTTTTTCTAGATGGCCTTGTGGAGCTAAGACTGAATGCGTTTCAACATAGATGGCCACCACAAAATTGTACATTGGCTCCCGACTGACCTGGGCCAGGGCCAAGGCAGAGAGGGCCATTTCCTCACTGTTTCCAGGATGGCTTTGCGGGCCACATGAAACCACTTTGCGGGCCGCATCTGGCCCCCGGGGCCTTGTGTTTCAATGTCTGGTGTAGGGGAACCAAGAAGGGTCTTTCCCATGGTGATTGCGTCCCTGTGGAAGGAGATTAAGACTGTTATTCATCTTTTGAAATTCTCTGAAGATGTGGTTTTGCCATAGGGACTGGGGACCTCAGGGCAATATGGCACCCATGAAGTAGTTTGATTGTTGTCACCAAGGAGGTAGATTTATTGGGTTTTGTATCGGTGAGTCTGTAAACGATTAACTTTGTAAACTTCTCTAAACTGCCCAGAGTCACTGTGAGCTGGGCAGGCTATGCATTTTCTTAATAAAGTTGGAAAAGTATGACGTGCCTTGGAAATGTATACAACTGGCTGGCTAGGGCCTTGAATAGGAAAAACAAAGGAACAGAATGCACAAACCTGGCAGGAAAGATCACTTTTTTTCTCTTGCATATATGCAAAAAAAAAGCACCCTTTCCTACATACGTGCCCCTCATAGGTGCTCCTAATAGATTGCTAGCTTCCATTCTAGCAGAGGCAACTCCTAGGCTCTAAATACTGGAATGCCCCACAGACCTGCCAGCCTGAAAGGGAGTTGCTGCCACTTTTCAGTCTCATTTTTGCCTGTGGCTTTAACTAAGCGCTTCGCAAGCAAAGAGGCATTCAGTAGGGCGAAGTCGTGGGCAGAGGTGTCTGTACTTCTCCTGTTGAATTCCTGCCTGTCATGGACCCAACCAAAACGGGGAAATTCTAGGTGGCAGATTTCGGGGGGGCGGGAAACCTCTCCCCATTCTTCCAGAACTGGGAAGAAATAGGGTGGTTTCCTCCTCGGTAAGCAAACGGGTATAAGCTCCAGAGGCAGTTTGAACCAAGCACTGAACTACAGCGTCCCAGGGGGTGAAGGCAACCCCGGGGTATCGTTTTATAACAGAGCTTGCACTGGCGTCGCAGCCGTCCCAAGTCCGCTGCTTTGCGCCCAAGGAACCAGCCCGGGTTCGTGTGGCCCAGCGGAGAGGGCGCGAAGTGCGCCTCCGCAGAGCGGGCAGGGCGCAGCCAAAGGCTCCTCTCCCGCCTGCTCGAAGGTCTCTCCTGAAGCTCAGCTCCGGGCCGTTGCCGCCACCACCTCCGCCGCGCGCGCTTCGAGAGTCGAATGGGCTGGGAGAAGTTCCCGAGAGCCAGCAAGAACTCAGAGCCAAGCGGCTCGAGGAGCGCCTGCGCACTACAGGGGCGCCAGATTTGGCGGGAGGGGGAGTGTCCAAAAAGCCTTTGTTAGATGGCATCTGTTTACAGAGTTTACGCTTTCATCTCAACCTGTTTCCTCCTCCCCTCTCCGGCTCCTGAGAACTTAACAGCATAAGAACCCTTTTTAAGAGGAGACACACGCCAAGCACTTCTTCCAGCTGCATAAAGCCCTTTCCTCCCCCGCCCGCCCACTCACCTCTCGCCTTTTCCCCCCAGTGACTAATGCAAGGATGGCCAGGAGACCTAGGCACAGGTAAAAAGCCGAAGACTGGAAAGTGCAAAGCAAATTTCTTTGCAACACCGAGGCATTTTTATTATTTTTTTGGTCGTTGTTTCTCGCGCGCTCTGTTGCTGGCTCTTTCGGTCTCTAGATATGTTGGTATGTGTGCGCGCGTGCGTCTTGTTTTGTTTTATAGCGACAAGATTCTTTTGGGGGAAAAGATAAAAGGGTTGGAGAGAGATTGGGAGCTGTTGCACAGGGTTCAGAGGAAGCGTTCCCTGCCAGTTCACCTGTCAGGACGTGCGTTAAATCGCTGTATTTAAATAAAATGCTGCATTGAATCAGTTGGTGCTTAGCAACTCACTTTCTCCTGGGCTACTTAGATTTTCCCCCCACCTCCGCCGCTCATTACCGATTAGGAATAGATAATAACACTCGGATCCGTGCAAAATTTCCAGAAGGGGTGGGTGAGCATCCGACCGAATTGCAAGTTGTACGCGAGCCGAAATAATTTAATAAGGACTCGAGAGCCGTCCCAGTCTTGCAAGGGGGATCCGTTGCTTCTGACAATCTTGGTTTGTGACCGTTTGGGGTTGCAAGAGGCGAGAGAGAGTACAGTCCTTCCGAAAAAAAAGAGCAAAATGTCGGAGCTGCAGGTAACCCGATTCCGTTTTCATTCATTCGTCCTTTCATTCATTCTTTGCGACTGGGAAAATGACAAGCAGGGTGGAAGGAAGACTAAATCCCTTTTTGCAGTTGTCGATTTCTTTCCGAACCGCAAACCTATTGCCTTGGAATTTGGGTCTTTGTTGCTTTTTTTTTAATTTAAGTGCTGGATATGAAAGTTTGCGTTCGCATTGCACGCGCTGTTTTACTTCTGCAGGAGCTGAAGCATTCCGTGCAGCGCGGCTTGGGACAGCTTGGCACCGCAGGAGAAGGTTGCAGATGGGGAAAGGACTGCTGGTTGTCAACTGTCACTTATTTGGTAATGGTGGAGTTTTTAACCTTGCTTTGCGGGCCTGGGTTTGACAGCTTCTAGTGAGGGAACTTTACAAAAAAAAAAAAAAATCTTGCTAGGTGTTCGTATGTGGTGACTGGTGATCGTCCGGGGCGAGGACGGCTTGTGGTTGTGGGCAAACGTTGCCTGGTGGAGGTGACTGAGGCTACCCACTGCTTACTCCTTTTTCTCTTTGCACTGCGGTGGCATGCAGCAGCCGGGGAGCGAAAAGCTGCGCCTCGTGGTCTGCAGAAACGCTTGTTCAATGCGGGATTGTTTGCTTAATTAGCTCGGGACAGCGTCCACGTGGAGTCAAGATTGCAAGACTTTCTCTTTCGCCCTTCAGCAACTGGGATTCTCTTTCCCCCTCTTCGTTTTTAATGCGCCCTCTTTTCCGCTCAGCTTTCCTTGACACGGAAAGCCAAGGACTAACCTTTGGAACTCCGGAAAGTTCCGCTTACTTCTAGGAAGAGAAAGGGAAAATAAGTCACGGCAGAGCAGGCAGCCTTGCAAACCTTACCTAAGGAATATATGGGCCGTTGCTTTGCGTGCACACAAAATCGCTAATCCGGCTGGTAGAAGCGATTGGGGGGGGGGAGAGATAGTTATTCTGCGCGCTGCCTGTTTTATTTGAGTGGTGGCCCGCTTCTGGGCCGCTCGCTCTCTCCCTCCGAGTAGATCCGCAGCGCTGTGCTGGGAAGAAGCGGAGCTATCGAGCTTTGCACTTGCACTTGGGAGAAAGCGCTCGACTGTGCCAAAGGCGCCGTCTTCTCAACGCAGCGCGGGACTTTCGGGGCATTTATTTTTAAAGTGATGTGTAATAATGTTCCTCTTTGCAAGAGTGAGGTTGAATAGAAGGCGGGGGGGGGGTGCGGCGACGGAGACACCGCCCCCTGTGTTCCAGTGGGATTGGGGAAGGGCCATCGTTCCCCGTTAGCAACGGGCAGTACGGGCGGGGACACAGAAAATAAAACCCCCGGGGCTTGCTTCTTTCCAGCACCTGTCGACCTAGAAGACTGGCGAGAAGGATCGCGAGTGACTGCCCTTCGGCTGACTGGCGAATTGCTCGCTTTTTCTTCAATCACAGTGACAGCGGTAGTAGTAATAGTAGTAGCTGTAGTAGTAAGCGGCTGCAACAAATCACTTCCTCCCCGCCCCATCTCCACCCTCCTTTTCTCTTTCTCTCAAATTGGTTGCACAATTGAAGTTCCTTGGCAAGAGCGGAGTATTCGTGAGTGTGTGGAGTGTTTATGCACAAATTAGCTGGAGGAACGGCCTTAACCCTTTCCGTTTCTGCAGCCTGACACGTCATCTCAGACTGCTCTGAGCGATTGCCCGGTTATGGGTTCTAGAGATCAAAAAAAAAAAGTGAATGGATGGAGGGACAGAACGATAGAAAGAAAGCTGGACTGCTTTATTGGTTGGCTTTTTTAGTTGCAAAATGTGACAGAATCGGAGTCACACTGCATTATCTGGAAAACAAAAGAACAGTTATGGAACTTGGCTAAAGAGCCTATAAAATTGATATGAAAATGGAAGCTGTGGGTTTTTTCACCTTGTCATAATTGTCGTTGCCTTGATGCCTTTTAAAATAAGTGCAACTGGCTAGTAGGCAAAACTGAAAACATACAATTGAAATCTATACCAACATCTGAGAGCGGAAAAAATATTCAACTGTTCTGTTCTCACTACCATCATTAATGACACAGAGCTCCTCAAGCCCTTGTTGTGTGGGACACACCACACACATACACACACACACACACACATGCACATACAATAAACCTCAAAATTCATTTTACATGTTCATAAAACATGTCACTTGATAGTAGGGTCTGCTTCCTGAGAAGCAAGGGTTGCACTGTAGTCCAATATAGTTTGGTTTTGAGTATTTTATACCAGTTTTACTTGTCTCTTGTGAATTTCTAGAATCATGAGAATAGATGGCACAAAATATGTATACGTACCATGTTTCCCCAAAAGTAAGACCGTCTTACTTTCTTTTGGGCTCTGAAGTAAGCACTAGGATTTACTTTCAGGGAGGATTTACTTTTTGCTGGTACCTGTACCAGTAGGCCCTGAGCATACGGGGGTGGGGTGGGGCCTGTATATGGGGTAGAGAAGCAATGCGGCGGAGAGAGCTTAGTGGCGGACCAGTTGCTTCCCTCCGCCTGCCAAAGCCATACAGGGTAAGGTTGCCACGCCCGTCCCCACCCAGATGCCCTCGCCTCCCCCAAGTGTTTTTTTTTACTAATTTGCCTTTCAGCTGCATTGCATTTCTCCATTCACTTCTCAGCCTTCCTGGCATGTTTGTGGGACTATCAGTAAAAAAAAAAAAAGTTCAATCAGACTTTCTAACTTCTTGAGATCTCATGAGAAGTTAGAAAGTCTGATTGGACTTTTTTTTTTTTTCCCCACAAACACACAGCCACGGTGAGAAGCGAACAGAAAAATGCAATGCAGCAGTTTTTCCCAGCCAAGTTTTTCTGTTTTTTTCCCCAGGGCTTCCCATCTCCTGTTCGGGTTGGGGGACAGTGGGGATTAGAATTAACGTACGGTAGGCCTGGCAGTGGCATTGGGCGTGAGACGTCAAACAGCTGCATCGTGCCAAAACTGGCTGTTTGCTGCCTCCTGCCCAATGCCACTGCCATGAGGCTGCGGAACAAGCCGGGTGGCGGTAAGGAACCAGTATACCGGTACTGTGGTCAGAACCCCCCTCCCCCATCGGCTTCACCTCGTCACAGAGGCAGGCTGTCGTGCAAGCCCTTAAGTAGGGCATACTTTCAGGGGGAGGGCTTATATTAGGCCCACCTCCCAAAAAATCAGCTGTGGCAAGTTTATTTTCAGGGAAACGTATTTATTTGCAAAAACATGTATAATTATTTACTACAAAAACATAAATAAATATTTATTTAGAAATTCTGATATTGGACCAGGTTACTTTAATCTCATTTATTAAAATGCATTTAAAAAAATGGTATTTTAAGTGCATTGTATTACTGTATTGCCGTAGGCACTCCTAAATCATCCATATTTTCTTCTCTACTTTAGATAGAATCTTTAAGCTAAACTTTCAGAACTTATGTTTACATTTTCCAGTTGAAAATAAAGTGTTGCTCAATAGAATTTGAAGTAAGGCAACCTTCATTGCAAAATATTTTGAATTTTACCAAACTGCATGAATTAAACTGGATGTTTTTAGTAATTTCTGCTCTCATATTAACTTTGAAGAAAAGCTGTGACAATCAGCAGCTGAAGTACATTAGATGGGATTGAGGTTAGCAATAGTATGAAAACTTCAGATTGTATTCTTCTTAGAGATACCTGTACTTGGGAATGAATTGTGAACTTGTCACTGAAGAGTAAAACAAACCAAACTGACTAATGGAATTTATTTTGCATTGATCTTTGACCTTGAACACTTTGAGGCTACATTGCCTTGCATATGTACAAACTGACCCTCTTCAAAGTCATAGTCAAAGAATTTAGTAGTATATATCCTTGTAAAATATGTCTGCTCCTTCTTCAAGTGCATAAAAATTTCATTTAGGACATGTAAGTGTAGGTGGGAATGATTTTGGGAGACAGGAGAAAGAGCAGCAGCACTCAGAGCCCTCTCTGTGGGCACGTACGCCGTCGCCCCAGTCCTAGGCCTTCAGCTGGATTTTATAAAACTGTTTTGCTTTAGGCCTCCGCCGCCGTGTGCAAAAAAAAAGGTTCAATCAGTCAATTTCAACTTCTTGCAAAGGTCTTGCAAAGTTGGAATTGATTGAACTTTTTAGTCTCACCCAGTCTGCCCTTACCATCGCAGCCACGCCCACCCAATGGGCCACGCCCACCCGGCACTCGACGATGCATAAGTGGGTTTTGAGTTGCAGTTTGGGCACTCGGTCTCTAAAAGGTTCACCATCACTGGACTAGACAAACAGCCAATAAAATTACAGTAGTGTCCATAGAAGGACATGCGGACATGGGAAGCGTTTCAGAAGAGACCCTTCTAGTTTTCTGCAGGGTAAAAAGGGAGAAGGAGAAATATTTCAGACTTCCAAGATTCTTTTATGTATCCCTACAATAAAGGTAGAGCTAATATTCATAATTCTTGCATGGACTACTTTGAAGGGCTAACAATGTAGTTGAACTAGGATCACCATATCTGGTCTGCACAAATCTTTTTTTTATAAGTATTATTTTATCATAGAGCATAAAATACAGAATGGTATAAACAAACAAACAGAATGTAACAAAACAAAAACATACATTCAACCCTAACCACAACATAAAAAGAAAAAAAAGTGTACAAAAAAGGAGGAAAAAGAGGTCAATTAAATTTAACATTTAACATGTAGGATCCTCAGAATCTGCAAAAGTCCTGAAGATAAATTAATGGGGAGGGGGGGGGAATGCAGAAAGCTCTCACTCTGCTGACATCTAGTGGTCCTCTAGATTTTTGCAGGCCACTCTGTAATCCTAATTTGAAGTCAGTAGGACTGTGATTCCCAAACTGTGTCCCAGAGTGTCAAGAGTGAATTCACAGAGGCACAGTGGAATATTTTACTAGTTAATAAATGGAATTGTTAGTGGGTTTACTGTGGTATGCCAAGATACCAAAGCACATAGTTTGAGAATCGCTCAGGGTGCTATGAACTGATCGTACAAGCATCATTGTACTAGAGTCATTGTGCATGTAATTAAATAATATGACAGTAGGATAATACAAAATACTAGTTTCTAAAAATATAAGATTTGATTTTTATCTGAAAATTAAATGTGGATTTTTTTTACCACTTTGTGAATTTATGAGGTGTTCCTTGAATGATTTGGCATAAGGATTCCAAATATGTACCTGGGCAAAGGACACAGCCTCTGTTCCTTTATTGTCCTAAACATTGTATTTTAATTTGAAACCATCATTGGTTGAACAGCTGCCAAATGGGTAATTTACCACTGATCTAACAGCATGAGCAGGTCTAAACATGCATAGTAAGCAGAAGGTTGCCAACCTTTTGCTTGTATCTGTGGATACCAGAAACAGCAGAACCAGTTCAGAATACTAGAACAGAATGTAGAACAAAATCTTGTCATGCAACTTTCCAGACAATTACCCCTATAACCTTTGCCAAAGTTGTTGACTTTTGCTAACTTTTTGTAGAACCTGTGATACTGAAATTAAACTCTCCCCTTTGGTGTTCTGTCTTAATTTTGCTTTCTGTATTTTATTTCTTCAGCATATATAGCAGTGATGATGAGGATGAAGATGTCGAGTTATACGATCATGACTATGACGGTCTGCTACCCAAGGGTGGAAAACGTCATTTAGGAAAATCACGATGGACCCGAGAAGAGGTAAACTGGCTCACACTAAGAGTCTGTGGAAGACAAGAATTTTAGTGCTATTTGTGGCTGGCTTCTCAACAAGAGAATGACTTGGGTTAATATGAAGTTGAACACTTAATTTTTTTCTTTTAAGTTGCCATGATTTGACCTATGCCTAAAAAGACACAGTTTGCTTTACAAAACAAACCACACATAAGTAGTTTAGAAACAAGCAACACCCTTTCGAGAAAGAAATATCTAATGTTGATGGCGCCAGTTGTGATACTGAGGTGAAAATAGGAACAAGTAAAAAGACAGTGGACTTAGAAGGAAGAAAATAGAGAAGCACTAACTAAATCATTATTATATTGACTTGAAAGCCTGAGAACAGCCAATCCAGCAGCAGAAAACCTTTTTTCCGCCACACTTCCCATGCAAATCAGCACAGCAATAATCATGTCTTCGTATGTTGGTTCGTATGAAAAATGGGGGTGATTCTAGGGTGGGTCACTGCTTCGGCTATTTTGAATACAGGGTTCAGCCTGTTGCTATAGATCAGGGGTGTCAAACTGCTGGCCTGTGGGCCGGACACGTCATGCAGAAGCCCACCCCATTGCTGGCAATGGCAAAACAGTCCCAATACATTACGTGACGTCGTGAGTTTGACATGTCTGCTATAGATAATGACTGATTTCATAGCAGTTGGTCAACGGTAATAAGGTGTGCAGAAATTGGCATTATGCATTTGATAGAAAATCTATAGAAGCCATTAGAAACATCAGTATTATGTGTTTCTGGGATTTATATGTCGTGCTTTGGTTTCCACCATTTCACATGTGTAGTGTACTCTATTTCTTTGGCACAGGTTGCCGTATTAAAATAATAAATTTGCAACACTGTGCTGACAATAACTTCAGCTGACTTATTGCTAGACACTCTAATTTTCATATTTAGGTTGCTTTAGTTTCACTAACATGTTGATATGAAACATTAACATCATTTTCCCAATGATTTTATAAAAAATTAAGTACTTGTTGCATTATTTGGCAACTCTCCAAAATAGCCTTTGCGGCTTAATGTTGTGCTTTCTAAACCCTTGCTGGAGGTTACTGGGTCAAATAATCACAAGGAAGTACATCAAAATTGCAACAAATTAGTACTTTTCTTTATAGGGCCACAGAATAGGTTGATTGTTGTGCTGTTCAAACCAGCAGTATGGTTAAGTTAGTTGAATATGGTGTCAAAGTGTTGAACCTTAATTGCATCTGGAAAAGTGCTTCTGCATGGTGATTCTTTATGTTGCAGCATAATATTTGAAAAATCTCTTTATGCTTTGTGTGTTAAACCCAGCACACTTTTAGTAATCAGCACAAGACAATATTACTGCTAGAACAATGCTTTCCACTTGCAGACACATTTTTTAGTAACATATTTGTGAAAATAGCCATATGGTTAGACTTTAGAGTTCAGTGATTATTTCCCCATCACTTAACAGTGTTAATTGGGACTGGAATTTACATCACTAAGCAGTCTGGTTGTAAAATGCAATGTGATGCAATACCCTGTTTAACTATGGCAATTCTGGCAGTCCCCAGCTACCATTGTTAAGGGGACCCTTGCAGATCATTAAGTGAGGAGTACACTTGTGACTTCTGACTTCCTGCCAACTTGCCCGTTAACTTTGCTAAAGGAGACGGTTGTAAATCAAGACCATGTGATCGTGGGATACTACAATGACTGGAACTTTGAGGCCTGTTATAAGTATCACTAATAGAGTATTGTCATACGTTCAAACAGTTACTGAGCAAATGATGGTTAACTGAGGATCACCTGTAGCATAAAAAGAAGTGCTTATCTGAAGTGGTTCACAAGATAATGATGGCACTATTATAGTGAAGGCCATTCTTATTCTATCTTGTATGATTACAAATAACATTCTTGCAGCCAAGTATAATGGCAGATGGATTAATGGTTGTCAAAACATAATTAACTTCATATTTAGTGAATTTTCCAGTTATACTAACTCACTGTTGTGCTGTAAATTAAATATCTTCAACACAAATGGTGCCAGTATAGGAAGTGATTAGAGCAGCCTTCTTCAACCTAACCCTCTAGATAAAATGAATTACAGGTTCATGGTTTTCAAATAACATAGCTAATAACCTTGTTTGTTGGAAATTTGGGCACTATGGTCCAAATTGTCCGGAGTACATCAAATTAAGGGATGTTGGGATTATATGTGAAACTTGAACTATGGGAGACTGTCTTTGTATTTCTTCATTTCTATTTTTGATCTTCATTTGTTGGCTTTGGACGTTTCATTATGAGAAGCTGCATTGCAGTTGCTGTCCAGAAGATTGCTCTCACTGAATTCTTCTCACATAGTAAAATTGAACCTAACCAATCAACTATCTCCATCTAATGATTTGGATGCCAAACTTCATGGAAATTAGATGTCTGCAATGGCAGATCTGTGTCTGTTGTATGTACATTGTTTAAGTTGATGTGTGGGTATGTCAAATAAATGCATCTACACAACTATACATTTAAGATAATGGTAGAGGCCTTAACTTAAATAAGTAATGTTTTTGATTCTTGTTTAAGAGGCAGGCTAGTTAACCAGGATGCTCCATTTTGGTGACTGTGTGGTCCAAGTGATCGCTGTTTGCAACCATATTAGTCAGCTTCTGACAGGCAAAGTCTTTTGGGAAAAGCAGATGTGCTTAATGACTGCATATTTCACTTAGTAGCTGCAGTGATTCACTTAACAACCAAGGCAAAAGGATCATAAGATCAGGCTGATTCACTTAATAACCACCTTGTTTAGCGATGGAAATGCTGGTGCCAATTGTGGTTGTAAGTCAAGGACAACCTACAGGGTTTGTACTGCTTGATAACCCAACTTGTTCACTGTTGCAGTTTGTTTCAACCCAACCTTTGACTTAACTGAATATAATAAAAGCATATGATGCGTACAAGTCTCAAATGGGGTGGGTACCTAGGAATGCAGCAAATAGGCTAACCCTATTATTCATATGCTCCAACAAATCCAATTCTCTGCCAGCGTCAGGCTGGGAAGGTGAAATTGTGAAGAGCTATACATTTGGGGCTCCTTCCATCAGTTTATCTTTAAAAATAAATTGTAATCGTGGTTGATTGCCATTGAATTATAGGAATCATGGCTTCTCCAAGCATATACACACATCCCCGACCTTTTCCATCCACACACATATTTGACCATGAACCTCTGATGATGTCAGGAAGGGCCAATCTTGGCAGTCAATGCATATATAAATGGATGGAGAGAGAAACGGGCAGAATCTATATCACATTTTTTTTTTCTGAAGACAAAGCCCAGGTATATTAAAAAGAAAAAAGCAAGTGACCTTTAAAAAGTTCAATTACACAAATATTCCTGATTTCTGTGGCAGTTTTGATCTTCATCAAGCATACCATGTTTTCAGTGATGATTTCAGCTTAGCTTATCAGTTGACAGCTTCCCAAGTATAAAATGTCACACCGTTTTCATTGAAGAAAACTGCCCAGTTGAGAAATGGGGAAGACAAAACTACCGTGTTGCCTAAAACAATTAAATTGGAAATCTCAACTTTCATGTTTATGGAAAGCAAGGATATTCAACAATGCATAATGTTGGTTTGGTCTTTTCCATGTTTTGAAATGAAACCCAAATAATGGAATTTATATCACTGTCTTAGGATGAGAAGCTAAAGAAACTTGTGGAGCAGAATGGCACAGAAGATTGGAAAGTTATTGCCAATTTCCTTCCTGTAAGTAGGCCTGTTTTCTGTTTATAACCACACATGTATTAGTGGGCAAGGAGAGAGATTATTTCATAATTACAGATGGAGACTAAATAGGCGTTTGTGAGACTTGCAGAACTCAAATTTATACACACTTCTTTCACTTCTCATGTGAAATAAAAGGGGCGGAAAATATAAAGAGCCTTTGGGGGGAGATTTTATGTATAACAGATGGCCAATACATCATAGATTTCACATAGAGAAACAACAAAAACTTCAGAATAGAAGTTGACTGTGATCTTGGGTGGCTGCAGCTTATTAAATATAAGTTTCTAGTAAGTATGGTTTCCAAAATGCTAAAGGTAAAATATATATTAGTAAGAATAGTTTGCTTTTATTGGGTCAATAAATATGATCAAAAATTAAAATGCTGTTAATTATGAAAAACTACAACAAAGCGCCTGGCAACTGAAAAAGCCAGATAGCTGACTTCTAGCAATGTGTAACTGCATGTCTGTTTTACTTCTCTCTGTACCACTGTACTTATTCTTTGTAGCTGTACAGATGGTGTCCTGACCAGTAAAACAAAAAGGCAAGTGGAATCCTGCAATAAACATTGGCAGGTTAAGTGTTTCTGGATGACATATTAACATCTGTAGCATTTTGTAATAATTTGCTTTGGATTTTGTTCTGCAATCCTAGAATCGAACGGATGTACAGTGCCAGCATCGGTGGCAAAAGGTGCTAAATCCAGAACTTATAAAAGGCCCATGGACTAAAGAAGAAGATCAGCAAGTATGTTTGAGTAATCTGCATTTGACTACTTCCTAAATATTTAATTCTGTGTCCAAACGAGCTGTATTCCAAAAGTAAAAACTCTGCATTTATATAGAGCATTGCCTTTTTTTTTCTTGTTAGAATTAATTTTTTTACAACCTCTCATATGTGCTTGAAAATTTACCAGCATTTTAAATTGTTCCATTGAGGTTGCTGTAGGGTAGAATGTTTCAGAGACCAAACTATAAACTGAGTAGATCCAACAGCAACTATAAGGGGGAAGAAGGATGGAAGCAGGGTCTCAATCTAAGCCCCCTGCCTGTTTCATATATGCACTATGTTATGGGTATGAAAAGGCAGAACTTGTAGCATGATAATTGCTTTTATCATTCTGGTGAAAGCAGCAAGCTTCCTATAAGTACAGCCAAACACATTGTGGTGTAATTGTTTAGGTTATTAATTAAAGCTTTTCAAAGAAGTATTTAGCAGGTAGCAGATTTAATTGTGAATATTATATTCAAAACAACAGAGGTTCTACTTTATTAAAGACAATTTCTTTTTTACATTGCAGAGCATATCATCTCTAAAACGTTGTCTATAGTTGCATGCATATCATATTAAGCAAACAGTCTGTTATGCTCTTCAGAAATTTGTTTTATTTACAAATACATAGTATGTTCTTGTTATTGAAATTAAAGCTTCTGGGCTTAGTACGGCTGACTCATCAGAAGAGAGTGCTTATAATTGTTATCTTGGTGGCTTAATGAATTTCAAATACAAAGTAAAACACCAGGCCGAATATCCTTTCATTTCAGCAGACTGTTTCTGACCATTGGAATCATCCAAAGCAGATTGAGGGAGGGAGATAGACTACCTCACTGAAGTCTGTTGCAAATTAGGGAAGCTTCTTTATAAGCTGAAATTGGAATTCACTGTGGGTTTTTTATTAACATTTCTCTAATCAGGCCACAGACAATTATTTGATGACAATTATTTCAGATTGGCTCTATTTATATAACACTTAGCCACTAGAGTTAGTTTGTTATTGTTGTTGATTTGCAGGTAATAGAGCTTGTACAGAAATATGGCCCTAAACGCTGGTCTGTCATCGCCAAGCACTTAAAGGGAAGGATTGGGAAACAATGCAGGGAGCGTTGGCACAACCATTTGAATCCAGAAGTGAAAAAAACATCCTGGACGGAGGAAGAAGATAGAATTATTTATCAGGCACACAAGAGGCTTGGAAACAGATGGGCAGAAATTGCAAAGCTGCTACCTGGAAGGTAAGGTCAGAACATAACAATTGGGGCAAAAAAACGTGGATGGAGTGGGGAGATTCTTTGTCTTTTTTAGCAGAAAAATATTCTGCACTTTAAAAAGTTAAACTTTGCTATCAGTTGCATTATGATATATCAAGTAATAAGACAAGTCTTTCAGGTTTAATTCCATTTATAATTTTTTAAAATTAAAGTTCATTTAGTTCTACTGTGGCTTTAAAAAAATCTACAAAATTTGGATGCATTTTTGTGCATATTTCTAATACATTTTTATATCCAGTTTTCCTAATGCATGCTTTTGCAGCAATGATTTTTTTTTGCTTAATATTACATTTCCCTATTGTATTTTTTGTTCATGTTTTTCATACAAGGCTCAGTCTGAAATGGGTGTGGAGTATCATTAGATCATAATATTGCACGTTAACAGCAGGAGGGCTAAAATATACAACTATACACTTTAAAGGTTGTGTTTAGCACAACAAAGTTAGCCCTTTTGTGAAGTAATTTTCATCTTCTCTTCAGAATCACAGCTTCCTTCTAAGTGATCCACCAATCACACACCTCAAACTCAAATGGATTAAAAAAAACCTTTGTGCCCTCAGCCCCCCAAAATGCCTGAACTTGCCTTAATGTCTGCAAAATAGTATCACAAAGTCTAGAGAAAATGCAGGTATCGGGAAAAAACTATGCACACTGGATTGTGAAATATAACTTACATAACACTGTGAACTAAGCCAATTTTCCCATCTACATTTTGATTGCAGGAACAAACTAAGTAAGATGTATGTTTTGAGTTGAGTCTTTATTAATACAGCTTCCTTTTAGAGGCCATTTTCTCAGTTATGTAGATTCCTTCATATGATTGCATAGATCAGGGGTGTCGAACTGCTGGCCCATGGGCCAGATGCATCATGCCAAAACCGCACCCACCTATTTGCTGGCAATGGGAAAAAAATCATGATATGTCGTGACACATGTGATGTCACGAATTTGACACCCGTGGCATAGATCATCTCCTGTATCACCAGCAAGCAAGAATCATTATACTTAATACTTCTATGACAGTCAGAATTAAATGAAAAGTGAGACTTGCTTATGGAGATTTCTATGAGCGCTGTCTAGAGATCCATGTCCTACTATTTAGATTCCTGTGGATGCAAAAAAGAGGACGCATAATCAACTTCCTTTTTTTCTAATTAATGTACAAAGTACTTGTAGTGAACTATTTTTCATAATGTAATAGCATATCTTGAATTCTTTTAAAAATTGCAAAAAAACAAAACAAAAAACCAACCCCTACTAGAGACTTCCCATTATATGATTAAGCTACACTAGAGTGGACCAAACACTTAGGCCAGGCGTGTCACATGACACAATGTATTGTGACTTTTTCCCCATTGCCAGCAATGGGTTGTGTGTGGTTTCAGTGTGACGCATCCGGCCCGTGGGCCGGCAGTTTGACATGCCTGACTTAGGCAATCTGTTTTTCTGAGGAGAATGTGGAAAAGATGGAAATAGGTCCTAAGTACAATAGTCAACTAGTAACAGCAATTGTTCTGCCCCTATAACAAAAGTAATAGATAAGACCTATTACCACCTTGCTGTTTGTAGACTATCTTAACACTCTTGTAAAAGCACATACCAAGGTTTGCCCAGTTTTGCTAAGACTTCTAAAGGTAACAAAGAAACAAAATAGATGAAGTGCATCTATTGCCTGTAACCAGGTCAAATAACAGCTATTATAATACAACTCCATTGACTTTAGAAGATTATGGAAGTGATTAATTCCTTCCATCCATCCCTTTAACTCAGGGGTGTCAAACTGCCGGCTTGCGGGCCGGTTGCGTTATATGGAGGCTGTGCCCACCCCAGCTCCGGCAATGCGAAAAAAGTCATGATACGTCATGACACATCACGTGATGCATCGAGTTTGACACCCATGCTTTAACCACTAATAGCCCATGAGGAACTTGGGGAAGAAAAACTTATTTTTGCAAAAGTTTACATAATCTTTTTTTTTTCAATGTGTTCATAATGTTCTGTTTAAATTCAAGCAACATTAACAGTGTTAATGGATTCTTATTGCTCTTGTATTTCTCAGACGGATTTCTATTGATTTGGGATATCTCCATATAGAACTTGAATTCAAGCAGCTGTTTCTTTCATTTGCCTATTTAGTTGGTTTAATTCATTAGTCTAGAGCAGGGGTAGGCAACCTTGGCTCTTTTATGACTCGTGGACTTCAACTCCTAGAATGGCTGGCTCAGGAATTCTGGGAGTTGTAGTCCACGAATCATAAAAGAACCAAGGTTTCCTACCCCTGCTCTAGAGGGCAGAGGAGGTAGTAATTCTTGCATTAATATGTGCATTGATTTCAGGCAGCCAGGCTTCTTTTAGAATGGCAGATTTCCCGTCATATTTCACAAGTGAGGAGTCCTTATATTATACCAAAAAATCAGGAAGTTGCTCCATGTCCCCATTTGAACTTTATGTTAGGAGTGCAGTGTCTGGGATCGGAGAAGGCTAACATGAGTTGGCTTCAGAAGTGGAGGGAGATTAGCTTTGTATGCAGCTATGTATTATTGTATTTTGTGGCTAGTTAAAAAGAGATGGAGGATTAACTAAAATGCAAAGTGAAATAACCATCTTGAAACTGTCTAGGAAGCTCTTACTAGAGTTCTGAAATGTTAAATAAAATTCATAGTAATAAAATAATTGTTTTCTCCCAGTCAACATAATCAGGCCTGAAAATTCTATTTGTGCAATACACACACATATATATATTTCTTTTACCAATGTTCTTGTGCAGAACTGATAATGCTATCAAAAACCATTGGAATTCTACAATGCGTCGAAAGGTTGAACAAGAAGGTTACCTTCAAGAAGCTTCAAAAGTCAACCAGCCTTCAGGTTTTCCAAAGAATAATCATTTAATGGGTTTTACCCACACTCCACCTTCTGTGCATCTGGCAACAGACATTCAAGCAACAGCGGCCAGTGACTATTCGTATTACCATATTTCTGAGACCCAAAATGTAAGCTAATGGAAAACAGTTGGATTATAAGTTAGATTTCTCGGCAGTTGAAATAGTGCAGTTGCATCCATGATCCAATTTGGCAGTAGTATCTTGTTTGGATATGAAGACTCTGTGATCCAAACTACCAAGGAGGTTGTAGCTTTTGGTCGGATCAACATTACAGCATTGGATACTGCTAGATTATATCTGGTGGCCAGCAAAAGTGCTAATTAGGATTTCTCAGTTTACTTGTAGATCTTTATGTAAATGTATTGTATTAAACACAGAGATTTTCTAAATAAACGCACATAGAATTTCCCTCTGAAAGCAGCCCTGTATTAACTTTACTGAGAATAAAGTGTGCTTAAATGGAACTCACGCATGAACTTCTATAGGATTGCTCTCTAAATTGCTTCTTCTTGCAAACAACTCTTGTCAGTAAATGTGCTCAGATAGCTGAATATTTTTGACTGTAAATCACAGTGGAGTAAATGCAGAGAGGCACCTATTACCTGTCTTGACGATACTGTAAATGTTTTAATTTTTTAACTTAAAAATACATTGGAAGTAAATACAAAGAAATAATTTAACCATCCTTTGGATCTAAATATATACCTTTCTCCTAAACTACACATCTGCTAGTTTATAAACTGGCTAGAGACCAAATAATTAGTTTATGCAAATATACTGTACATAGTTACGTACCATAATCATTAGTTATTGTATAAAATAAGGAAATCTCCAAAAATCTAGTAAGGACCTTTTAAAAAAAGGTAATTGGTTATTATGCATGGAATAATTAGAAAGCATAGGAAAAATTATTCAAGTATGTATATTTTCTTTCGGTTTTTAATTTAAACTTTCACAACATTTGAGGTGAAATGAAATGTTGAGGTGAAATACAACTGAATAGCAAAACTTTATTTCAGGACTTGATGAAATGTGGGTAGCATCATAGGTAATACACAATAGGTAATTTTTTTTTCTGTTCTTCCTATCTGGGTTATAAAGTAGAACATGTTATTCTAGATTCACTTCCATATGGTTTATCCATATTTTTCTATCAATCTTTATGAAGCATTGTCTATTGTAAACCAGCAATTAATTCTAAAAGGCAAGAGCAGAATTCTTTAATTTTCTGCTGGATATGATAAAAAAAATTGTCATTCCAGGAGTAGCCTTAATGGTAGTGGTCATGATGCCATCAATTTTTTAGGGTTGTTTTCATTACTAATTACCTGGCAACTTGAGAACTTCCTTGTAAATTTTATTGAAATTATTAACTTCAAGAGAACACACAATTGCATTTCAAGGAAATAGAATGATTAATGTGAAGGCTTTTGTTGTTTTTTTAAACCAGTTATGTAATTGGGAAGCATTTTAGCATGACAAATAATTTACATTTTTTATTTGTGTTTTATTTTGTTCATTTGTTTGGTATAGGTCTCTCCTCAAATCCCATATCCAGTAGCACTTCATGTAAATATTGTTAATGTACCCCAGCCAGCTGCTGCAGCTATACAGGTAGATGATCTTAAAGATAATTTGAAGAGTCAATTTGATGTAGATCTGATGTGCAAATTAGATGCAAATACTTTATCTTGTAGTCAAGCAAAAGCTAAGCTCTTTCATATTTTATGGCAAATACTAAAGTAATTTTGTAGATACAATGCTGTGGCTAGCTTAACTTCAGCAGATTTGATTCCAGTCTTGAAAAGGTGTGGACTTCAACTCCCAGAATTCCCCAGCCAGGAATTCTGGGAGTTGAAGGTCCACCTATCTTCAGGTTTACAAGATAGGGAAACACTGGTTTAGAAGAAACTGGCTGAGCAACATACATTCAGATTTGGTGAGGAAAAACCGCAAAAGCAGAAGGGGAAAATATATTCCAGGAAAGGAGGCCTACTTGGTTGAGTTTAACCTCTAATTTGCTCAACCCAGTTAGCAGGGAGCCAGTATGATATTTACATTGCTAAAAAGGAGATCAGAGAGGATGCAATATTGAAATGAGAAGGGCAAACTTAGAAATCACTCCAGAATGGTATCATTAGTCTCATATCTCAACATGAATCTCTATAAAAGTTTAGTGCGGACATTGTTCAGTGGGTAGAAGTCTCTCAGGCCTATCAACAACATGGCATGAGGCATTCTTATCATGGTGACTGCAGCATCTGGCAGGGCCTTTACTTTCTTTTTTCCCTTAACTCTTAATTTCAGAGACACTATAATGATGAAGACCCTGAAAAAGAAAAACGAATAAAGGAATTAGAATTGCTACTAATGTCGACTGAGAATGAACTGAAAGGGCAGCAGGCATTACCAGTAAGAATGTCACCATGTACTTGGATGGAGGGATAGCAGCTTTACCCCAGTGCTTCTCTTCGCTTTTTCCCCCTTTCTTCCTTCTTCCTTCATTTTCTCTCTTCTTATACTAATTGAGACTCTATATTTCCATTGACTGGGGCAAAATATTATAGCCTTCCCACCTGATTTATGCTGAGGTGAAATATGAGATAATGAAGAACTTACAATACTTTGCATAATGGAAATGTAGTGTCTAATTCTTGCATTTTTTTCTTCCATGGTGGATTTCTTCAGTTACGTGTTATTCTTTTGTCCTGTGATTCTGAAACTTCCATAGGATATTTAATTTAGTAACCCCCCCGTCTCACCCAATGTATCATTTCACACTTCCAAAATAATGCAGAATGAAAAGCTGTTTGGGTTTTGCAGTTCTCCAATGAAAGTGCAAACATGAATGATACACTCAGCAATATTTTTAGTAGTTGATATTACCTAGAGAAATGGGTTATTGCTTGTTTACAAAAACATGCTAGGCAAAATTGCATAGAAAATGCATCTGTGGGGACAAATATACACAGAAACATCTTTAATTTTTATGTGTTTTTTTTTTTTTAAAAAAAACCACACACAGTCAACCCAGTGTGGAAATAGGATGAATTAAACTTATGGGCAGAAAAATGAAAACCTGAGATGAATCCAAATGGACATTTGTGTTGATTCTTCCTTTAAATATTAAATATTTAACACATATTGGAGCCACTTTGATGTAGTGGTAAAGGTACTGGCCTAGAAACTAGAAGTCTTGAGTTTTAGGCTTTTCTTAAGTATGGGGCAGTCACTCTCTCTTAATCAAACCCACTTCACAGTGTTGCTGTGAGGGCAATAGGAGGCAAGAATATTAAAGGAGCAATAGTAATAGGCAACTTAGGTGCAATTCCAGAATAACTGGAGCACCATTGAACACCATTGGCATTGAGAAAATCGCCACCAGTCAATTGGAAAAGGTAGCTTTCCTTGAACACCCAAATCCTGCAACAATTGCTTTAATACCATCAAACAACATCTGCCTAGCCTAAGTCCTTGGGAAGAACTCAATAAATGGATACAAATGCCAAATCTAGCGTAAACATCTGGCTTATTGTGCAACCAACCATAATAGTAATAATACAAGATATATGTAGTTCTTCCCTCCGCCCCAAACCCAGTAGCTCTCTTCTCACAGGGCAAATGAGCAACACTACAGGAAAGAAGCAAGCAAAGATTGAAGCCTCTCTCTGTCCACACCCTGCTTACTTGCTGCTTTTCAGAATGCCACAAGCATCATTTGCCTGGGCCACTTCTGGCATACATATTGCATTGTGGACATGTTGCATCTAGTTTAATTGGCTTGAGAGACTACAGTTCTAATTCCAAGTGGTTTGGGAATCACAGTCCAAGTCATGTCATCATCTTTTTCATGTTTTGATAATGTTTTTCTTTAAAGAAAGTTAGATTCTGTAACTGCATGCATCAAACCAGAGCTGGCTATTACTTCAATACATAAATTTGTTTTCCCTCCATTTCTTTTAAAAAGAAAAAAAAATAACAAACCAGTTTATGAAATGACTTAATACAGGTATTGCAGAAAAACCCAAGTGGTAGCCAGCAGAAACCTCTGTGTATAACTGAATTCTGTTAATATTTACTTTCTAGTTAGTATGACAAAACAATTGCGTGCATGACATGTTAGTTTGATAACTTCTAATTTTTATCTTACGTTTTGCAATTTCTTGTCTTGCATGGTTATACTGTAAAGAGACTTCTATTAATTTGCTTTTCTGCTTTCTTAACTACATTGATTTTACAGCCTTTCCATTGCATTGGTGTAAGCTGTAGTGCTAGACAGGGATAGGAAGAAGTCCCCCAAAAGTCAATGCTGGTTCTAAACTTGGCCCACAAAAATAAATCACACCAGTTCAGGTAACTTCAGATACGATATGGAGCAGACCTAAAAGATTTAACTTCTAAATCCTTTAGGTATAGACAAGTGTGAGTTTGCACTAGAAAAAATCTGCCATTTCCTTGCTTCTCACCAGAAAAATGAATTCAGCTACTTTGGTGAAATAACACCATGATTGTGTGGCTTACAATTATACTTACTTGCCCAAGATGCAGAGTTGTTGCCCAAAATGAGGTAATGCCAAAATGAGAGCTATAAATCTTCTACCCTTCTAAAACCCGCTTTTGCTGCACTGATGAAAGGAAACATCTTGACAACTGTTTCATAGGCATTAAGTGCTTAGATGATGCAACTACTTTTATCTTTTCCTTCAACAGCCATCTGACGCCTTGTGCAATTTCATTACTAAGTTCCTTCTGCCTTTCTCTTTCTTTTCCCTTCTCATCCCCCCTTCCCCCTCTTTTTTAGACTCAGAATCACACTTCAGATTATCCAGGATGGCACAGCACCACAATTGCAGACAGTACCAGAACGAGTGGTAATGGTGCGGCCATTTCCTCTTTGGGGGAGCATCATTGCACTGCATCTCCACCAATGGACCATGGCTGCTTGCCTGAAGAGAGTGCATCCCCTGCAAGGTGCATGATTGTTCACCAGAGTAACTTCCTGGATAATGTTAAGAATCTCTTAGAATTTGCAGAAACACTTCAGCTAATAGATTCCGTAAGTAGAATGATAATCTTCTAACGTGTAACTGCCTTAGGGGAATCTGCATGCTATGTCTACAACAGTATGCTTTCTTATATATGGTCATACTAAATGTTCTGGCCTCCAGCATAAAAAGCTAAAGACAGGTAGTCCTCTACTTACGACCACAGTTGAGCCCAACATTTCTGTTGTTAAGCAAGACATTTGTTAAGAGAGTTTTGTCCTATTTCACGACTTTTCTTGCCACATTTGTTAAGTGACTCACTGCATTTGTTAAATTAGTAACATAGTTGTTAAGTGAATCTGGCTTCCCCATTGACTTTGCTAGTCAGAAGATCACAAAAGGGGGTCACATGACCTGGGGGGACAGCAGTTGTAATAAGTACGAACCAGTTGCCAAACGTCTAAATTTTAGGCACATGATCGTGGTGATACTAAGGTCATAATTGTGAAAAACGGTCATAACTCACTTTTTCCAGCGCCATTGTAACTTTGAATGAACTAAATCAACTGTTGTTAATAGAGGACTACTTTTAACAGTTTTCACCATTGCTATATGGCTACTAAAATGTTTGGCTTAAATTTCTTAAAGTTCAGTCATTTATATGGCTACTCGGAATTAAGTCTTGTTAAGTCTTATTAAGTAAATACAAGTATTTCTGAATAAGAACAGGTTAGCCTAGTTTGAAGTTTGCCTTGTTTGAAGAATGTAGTATTTATTAAACTCATATAAATGTAGAATGCACGTATCCTGGAAATTCTGCTCAATATGAATATTCAGATGACACAGCTATTCGCTGAATAACCACGCAGAGTCACCTTGTAGGAAGATAGGTGGCATAAAAATTTAATAAAAAGCAAACTTTATAAATAATGTGTGCCTAATTATAGCAAAAAAAATTACATAAGCTGTAAAAGTAATATGATATTACATCTTTTGTTTCAGTAATATATTAGACTTTTGGATCCTGGCTTTTTTTATAGTGCTGTTGAGTTTTTTTAAATCATAATTTCAATAAAATCATTGTATTAAGGATTCTAACTAAAGAGTAAGAATTCTTTTAGGCCCTGTAGTTTGAGACGAGAGTTTTAATAAACTAAGAGATACATAAAATTTATAACATTATACATACTGATTGATATACAGTTTTCTGTTTAAGGATGTTGCTATTGTATAAGTTTAGTCAGTGGAGAATATCTTTGTGTAACAAGACTTTTTACAATTGATTAAACAGCCAGTTTGAGATATTTCTTTTTTGAAATAATATCATTGGGGTGATTTGTATCTTAATGTTTACATTTTGGAACAGTATCACAACTGGGTCAAACTCAAATTAAAAAGGAACCGATCTTTCTCCTTTTGTTAATGCTGTTATGTTAGTAATCCAGTTGAGCTTCTTAAAATAGGTAGGAGGAACATGCACTTTCTCATAGATTCGTGGCTTCCCCCATTGTTTCCAGGATCTGTCATCATGGGGTGATCGCAGCAGTTTTGAATTCTCAGAAACATCAAATGCTTCACCTACCCAGGTTCCCTCAGACAGGACCCCACAGCTTCAGAAAACAGACAGCAATGTGTGTAAGCTGGAAGGACACTCTCTTGCAGACTTAAGCAAAGCCATGTTGAGTCAGGATTCCTTTGCCTTGCCAAAGTCCTTGACTGGCTCCAAATGTGGCCCACCTCCATTGGTCATTCTGCGTGCAAAGAGAAGCCATCCCATGAACCATTTAGCCAATGGTCATAATAAGTCCCTCATTCTTACTGAAGTCAGCAGCTCAACTCCTAAACATTCCCCTGTCAAAAGCCTGCCTTTCTCTCCTTCCCAGGTAGAGCAATTCTGTTTAACTGTTACTAATTCTCTAAGTTAGTAAGGTGTTAACAACATGGAGAAACTAATCTTTGGGGCAAATGACTAATCCCTGCGGTGCTTGTTAATTGCATTCTGATTTTGAATCTACCCACTGTTGGGTTTAGAGAGGAAAGAATCTAACTTACCTAAATATTTAATTCTTGGTGATTTGGGGAGGATTTGTTGTCTGTTTGCTTTACTCTGGCTTGTAAATTCCTTCATCTGTCCAAAATTAGCATTCCTGTTTCCTGTAATCATTTTTTTATTTCATCCATTTTGGAGGATGTTTCATATAATCCCAGAATTTGGGTTAAACAATTAACTTCCAAATTATGTACTAACAAGTTCATTTTTAAAAAGAAAAAAGCATTAACCTAATAATGAAAATAAATTTGAATGGTATTGGAGGAACTGTGCAGTGTGACTTACAAATCAGTTGAATGGATATATTTAAATTGTCTTGGTCACATAGAAGATTTAAACATAAATGTGTTTGGTTAAATGGAAAAAGTCTAAAATGACAAGTTAACGAATTCATCTATACTAGTTTTGCAGTTCTGTTTTTTTTTAATGTAACAGTCTTTTGCAAACAAAGTCAAATATTTAAATTTTAAAAACTTTGTGCATCCTTTACTACCCATGCTGTTAAAGCAAAATAATGTTTTAACAAGGTAAATAGGAATTTATTTTAAAAAATCCAGTGTTGTTCTACTTTAGCTGGAGGATACCATAATCTTCAGAAAAATTTGTTCTTCCTTGATAGCTAAAATTCCACTGAAAAGGTAGTTGTTCTTTAAATATCACCTTGGAAGAAATCTAAAGAAATAATCTAAAGCAACAGAAATGTAAAAACTTTGGAAATACAGTAATCAAAATGCATAACAGCATTTACGTTATTACATGAAATTAGTACTGATATTCAGAGTTACACTGTGAGTTCCTTTTCTTCACTTCTCTTGGTTTTACTTGATTACGCTATTTCAAAAGTAAAAACCATTAATTCTATAACATAATGTACCTTTGCAGTTCTTCAGCACTTCTTCTATCCAAGAAAGTCTGGATCTGGACAATCCCGCTTTAAGTTCCACTCCACTGTGTACTCATAAAGTCGCTGTTACAGGAGCGCTTCAAAAAGACCAAGCATTTAAGAGCCACAAAGAAAATAATTCGTAAGTCTTCTTAAATCATATTTTTGACAGCAGTTTCAACTCTCAGTGAGAATGTTGCAGCTATTTTTTATGTGTGTGGAATTGCTGTGCAAATTATGTTCCCCTTTGCCTCAGTGAAAGATAGCTTGGTGCTTAAAGCACTCAAGTGATGTTGCCCCTTTCAATATGATTAAGGTGGCAAGCTACATAGTAAAGAGTGTTGTCATGATTTTTGAGAGTTATGTCTTCGTATTATCCCTTACAGCAGAATCCTTTCTATAAACTGCTTGTAAAATGTGTAATACAGGTAGTCCTCAATTTACGACAACAGTTGAGCCCAAAATTTATATTGCTAAGTGACAAATTTGTTTTAAGTGAGTTTTGTCCCATTTTACGACTTTTCCTGGCACTTTTATTAAGGGAATCACTGAAGTTAGTAACATGGTTGTTAAGTGAATCTGATTTCCCCATTGACTTTGCTTGTCAGAAGGTTGCAAAAGGTGGTCACCTGACCCCGGGGCATTGCAACCGTCATAAATGTGAGTTAGTTGTCAAGCATCTGAATGCAAATCACGTGACCATGGGAATGCTGCATTGGACATGTGTGAAAAACGGTCATAGCTCACTTTTTTTCAGTGCCGTTGTAACTTCGAACAGTCATTGAGCGAACTGTTCTAAGTTGAGGACTATAGTACTTGTATAGGCTTGTTCTGTACTCAGCAATAAGTATCTTATTTACACCAGTTAATTTATTTGATTTAAACAATTGACGTTGAAATTAAAAACAGGTAGGCCTTGTTTAACAATGGTAATTGAGACCAGCAACTCTATTGTTGTGTGATGCACTTGCAAAGTACAGCATCATTTGACTTAACATGGCAATTGCCCATGATCTCAGTGCCCCCCTGGTCATGTGATCCCCATTTGCTACTTCCTGCCAGCTTTCCCGTTGACTGTGCTTGTCAGAAACCAGCGGTAAAGGTTGCAAATGGTGATCTCATGACCACGATGCTGTGTCTGTTACAGTTTTGAGCCAGTTGATGAGTGGCCAAATTGTGATGATGTGACCAGTGGGATGTTGTGCCAGCTACAACTATGAAGAAAGGTGATTGGTCCCCTACTTCAGTACCATCATAACTTCAAACTGATGCTTAATGAGGACTATATGTGCAGCGCTAATCAATTTACTATTATGTATAGAATTATCTTCTAATCCAAGGGTCTTCAAACTTGGCCCTTTTATGACTTGTGGACTTCAACTCCCAGAATTCCTCTGGCTGAGGAATTCTGGGAGTTGAAGTCCACAAGTCATAAAAGAGCCAAGGTTGAAGACCCCTGTTCTAAAGCGTTTGAATAATGGTGTGCAAATAAATTTTAAAAACAAAAAGATAAATTCACTTAGCTTGCCTGTAAGACAAGCCAGTGTGAGTATTTCCATAATATAAATGGGAGAGTGAAACGGGGAATTTGCAGCTGTAACACATTCTAACTTTTGCAATATTCTAGGTGTATTCTAAGCAAAATTTTCAACTAATGGCTTGGAACTTGTTTCTCGCTCTCCTCCCCTCCCCCTCACTCTTTATTTCTTTCACTTTGGTAAGTTTCAGAACTCCAGCTATCAAAAGATCAATATTAGAGAGTTCTCCAAGAACACCAACTCCATTTAAAAATGCAATTGCAGCTCAAGAATTAAAATATGGACCCCTAAAAATGCTGGTAAGAAAAGAAAGGGCACTAGCTTAATGATCGATCAAACCTTTGTTACAGTCATGTGGTCAGAAGTCAGAAAAAAAAATAAAAGCAAAAGTGAAAATATATAAAGATAAAAAAGAAATGACATTAATACAAATGTTCAGACCTGAGGAAAAGCAGATAGTGTTTATTGTGGTGAACTCAGAAAGATATATGCAACCAATGGCCTGCAGAAGAACTGATAAACAGAAGTCATGCTGTCTTACCCTGAAATTTCTTCAAGATAGGGTTTATTTATTTAAGTCATTGGGGATTCTTTGTAGAGAGGGAATGATGAAAAGGATGCACACTGATGAAATTATTTTTGTAATACCCGGACAGATAGGAGAAGGCATTTAGGAGAAGGCATTTCTGTGTCCAGCCTGGCCAAAATGAAGGCCTGTCAGAATTTCAGAACTGATAAAAGAGAAATAGGAAGCTAGTGGATGATTTAATGAGGTTTCTTTGGAAGCTCCAGTAGGACATAATCTTTGGGAATGGACAACATGACTGCACTTGGCTATATAATAAGCCAAGAACTGCATGCCGAAAGTTAGTAGGATCAAATTGGATTTAATTTAATTTGCGCCTATAGCGATTGAAATATAGATAATATGGTTTTTTTTCCCCCTGAGGTCACACTAAACTTTTGTGCCAATTTTTGAAAGCAATCCAGGAGTCCAACACCAAACTACATAAACCTCTGGGGTTTAGCTCTATTATAAAGCATTTTCTGCTGTTCAGGTGTATTTCTCTCTCTTCCTTTTAGCCTCAAACACCAACTCACCTGGTAGATGATCTGCAAGATGTCATCAAACAGGAGTCTGATGAATCTGGCATTGTATCCAGCCTATGTGAAAATGGTTTCCCTTTGCTGAAGAAAATCAAACAAGAGGCAAGTTAAACTGTATTTACTTAAGGTTACATTAAGCTCCATTCTGTTTGCCAACAAATGCTTCTAAATCATTTTAAGCACTGCCTCAGAAAAATCAACTTTGGCAGGATGCTTTCAAAAAAGAACTTGCTATTCTAATTTACATTTTTGAGAAATTAATCAGAATATTCAGAAATGGTTCTAAACTTTGGTTAATTGAAAGTAACGCGTGAAGTTGCCGATAGGAAGTCCAAAAAAAAAAAATAATAATAGTCCTATAAAGGTAGTACAGTACTGCTATTTCTGACTTCCAATTTCATGAAATGCCACTATGCAGATAGTGAACAATATTTCACTAGGGCTTATTTTACTCTATCTATTAAGATTAGATTATTTTGGATATCATTGGTAGAGTAATAATTTGCATTGAACAAAACATGTCCAGGCTTATAATCCACTCAGTGAAAAGACATCTTTCAACATAAGATGCAATCTTTAGTAGAAAAGAAATGTCTTTGAAATCTGTCTACATTCATGTTAGATCAGTCAAATAACAGCAAGTTTAAATTTGTTTAAAGTGAACAGATCCTGAGTGCTAGTGTGCAGTGTTAGAGGTGTACATGACACAAGAAATCCATTTATTTCAAGCTTGGAACAGGTCTGTCCCATTCAAAATGCTCTCAGAATGATTTGCATTGGCTTGTTCCTTTGGAGTAATTGAACACTTGAATGTTCTGTGTTCCTTTAGAACAAAACTCAAATTATTTTAATTATTCCAGTTCTAGTAACTTATTACCAGCTGCTACCGGTACTTCCTTTCACTTGTTTAGGGCAAGAAGAGTTCAGTGGGGTGATGGTCATGCTGACTGATGTTTTTGTTGTTGTTGTTGTTGTTTTTTTATTGAAAATTTTTAAAATTTTACAAAAAAAAAGTTCCCTTGCCCCAACCCACCCCAACCTTCCCAGACCTGAATACCGGCTTAATTAAAATTTAAAGCTGACTGATGTTTATATCCTAACTGCTGGAAACTTAGCCAAAGACAAGGTTTTTAATTGAAAATATTAACATAAAATGCTTAGAGACAATAGGAACGCAGTTCATCAACTGAGAAATCTACTTTGATTAGCATCTGTTATTACCCACCTATTTTTGCCCATTCAACAGAAAGAAATATTTTCAGTTTCTTAAAACAAACTTTATGGGTCAATCAGCCAACAGATGGCAGGACAAAAAGAGCAGCTAGATTATTTAATATTATTTTTAATTAGTACATTTCCTTGTGAGATTTTCCTGATGTTTTGACCATTTTTTGTCATTCTTTTTTTGTAAATCTTTTTTCTTTCTTTTGCAGTTAGCTTGTCAGCTTAAAAACAAGCTCAGTAAAAGCAACTGTGTCTTTTCCTGATGTTTTTGCTTGCATAGAGGGGTGTCTAGTGACTGACAGAGTGGGAAAAAAGACCACTAGTGCTTTTGAATTGCATGAATAAATACTGCAGCAACATTACAAGTTCTGAAAGCATGCATATACATAGCAAATTTGAGCAAGCCAGTATTGCACAAATAGTATTTACATTTAAATAGCTTCTGTAGCATTCATAATATTTCTGTGTGAAGCAAAGCAATGCACATAAACATGCACTTTTGCATTATCTACACCAGTGGGACCCACCACTGCATTCAGATGAACTCAAACATCACCTTTTTGAAAAGCAATAATTTACCAGGCAGCTCCAACAATCTTCTATCTGTGCTTCATTGTTTCCTTTCTAGCACTTCGCTCCTGTATTACCCCACATAGGCTAAACCAGGGGTATCAAACTGCCGGCCCATGAGCCGGACGCATCCTGCGGAAGCCGCGCCCACCCCGTTGCCAGCAATGGCAAAACTGTCCTGATAGGTTGCACGACGTCATGTGACGTCGCAAGTTTGACATGGCTAAACCAATAGCAGCAAGGACATAATGGATCTCTGCTGCTGTATTTGGTTAAAGTGGAAAAAGATTTGAAGAAAGCAGCCCAATCATAACTCATCCAACAGCCCAGTCCAAACACTCTAAATGCTTTCATGTTGGAACAAAACTGTGTGTTTTCTTTCACACTCAGAACACCAAAAACAGCTGTTTCAAACTCGAAGCTTATCTCTGTTGCGTGGAGTAGTTCAGGACATTGTATGCTGACTGAATTAAGTTTGGTGCCAAAGCTTATGTCAAAATGCACTTGCTGTTAAGCAAGACAGAATGTGTCAATCAACTTTATTTTAATGTGGCTTTTGTTCCTGCCTGCAGGTGGATTCTCCAGCAGGGAAAGCAGAAAACTTCCTTTGCTCAAATAGTTGGGAAGGGGAAGGGCTAAACACACAGCTCTTCCCATATGCATCATCAGCAGAAGATGTGCCTGTATGTATTAATGCCCTACATCTCAACATCTTGGGCTGGGGTGTTTTTGTTGTAGTTTTTGTTTACACAACCTTGATTGTTCTGAGGCCAAAAGAAGAAAAGAATAGCCCGTATCTGGGCATTTCCCAGATTATAGTCTACTAATAGCTGGAAAAAGCTTGTACAGGGGAGTTTTCCACAGGCTACACCTTGGGGATGTGGTACCCATAATTTTCACATTCTGTTTTGGAAATGCAAACATATTAGTACTAAAAAAAAAAGGGGAAATTCACTTATTTCAGCATGAGGCAATTAATTCAATTTCTCCACTGAAGACAATGTGATATTAACAGGAGGAGGATTTAAAATTCTTTTATGGCTTTTTAAAATAAAGAAAACAAGCGAAACATAGATAAAAATACATACAGTGCATCGATTAAGAAAAGACACATGGAAAGTGCTTTTTTAAAAAAAACAGCAAAGAAAAAAGATCATTTTAGCAATAAATATATAGTTGTTGAATGCAATTATTATACATTTCTAGAACATTTATATAACTATCCCATTTTTAACCTATTGTATTTTGTATAAATGAGTCCCATATTTCATTATATTATCCATACAAAGTCTATGACTATGGCAATCTGCTCATAGGTGGCAAATATGGTGATATTAACAGATTTAATGTCAGCCTGATTAATGCCAAAGTTTATTTTTTTTCCTAATGTCTATCCTTTCCTTTTGTTGGGTAAAGATGCACTTAATACATTCTAAGATAAAAGATCTCTGAGATGTTTGCTAAGTGATGAGGCAATGAAATCCTTTCTTACTTTGACCAGTAGAAGAGATACTAATCAGCATCCTCTATAAAAAGCATAAACTAATACAATGTAAATAGAATTTATATACAAAATAGCTTAGTCAACAAGATATTTTAGGTAAATATTTATACTTTTGTCAGTTGTATTGTTATCTAATTTTGGAGGTAGTAGCACTAGAAAATACTTGGCTTCTGAACAATCCTGTGTTAGACTACATTTTTAATATTTTGTCAATCATGTTTTTTTATGCATGCCCTCATTTTAATCTCTTTCAATTCAGCATATTGCACGGGAGTTTTACACTGAAGGTTGTTAAAAAAATTAATAAAAATTATTTTCATTGAATATCATTTTCCTTAGGAACTTGATACAACCACCTTTTGTTTCAGTAACCAAGATTTAAATTTAAAGTTTACTAAATTCAGAGAATGCAATCCAGCATAGTACATGCAAATGCCACACTAACTATTCTATACTGAAAAGTTTTGGTACATGATCCAATGTTCCTTAAACTCTTCCCAAAAAATATTTTTCCTTTTCCCTACTAGTTCACTCATAGTTGTTACCCCTCTCAGTAGCTGCTTTAGCTGCTTAAGGATAATTTCCTCGTCTGCTTAACTGCCAGTGTTTAGTCCTGCATTATTTAGTAACCACTTTGTTAATATTATGTGTGACTTGGTTTGGTTCCACAACATCAGCATAATGTCAGTTCAGACATTCACTTGAAGTTGTTTAAAAACTCCTTTCAGATAAATATTGTGACAAACTTCTGACCAGTCCGCAAAGTTGCAGCCATCGCAGTATCCCCGTAGTCATGTGATCACACTTCAAGCACTTGGCAAACCAGTTCACGCTCATCATCGTTTGCAACCTTCCCTGCTTGGCTTCCTACAAGCTAAGTCAGTGGGGAAGCCAGTGGGAAATTGCAAGCTGTCACTTTTTCACCCATCTGCTCATAATCTATAGCTTTATAGTACCTGGTAAGTTTTTGCCAGCCAGCTGGCTTACCTGGAACTCCCATCTCTTCCCTTTATGGTCATGTGAATACCTTCCTTAATGACCTGTGCAGTCGTGAGGTTACAACTACTAGGATTGCCATCACTAAGCAATGCAGTTATTTGACATCATGTTTTATCATTGCATTGCTTAGTGCTGAGAATTCTGGTCCCAGGTGCCATCATAACTCGAGAACTACCTGTATGTAGTATTGCACCTTTCAAAAATGTCTTTTAAAGTCCTTCTAATTTTATCTGCTATATGCTTTATTTTTTCAGAGGATTCCAATAGTTGAGTACGCCAAAATTTCAAATATCCTTTAAGTGCAATCTGATAGGATGGAAGGAGGATGGAGAGAGATAAACAAACAGTCCTATAACACTGTATCATAAATAATCCGTTCAACATTATACACCATTCTTAACACAGTTAAGATTTTAGTGTGGGTCTTTTTTTCCCCAGAATCTGCTGACCAGTTCACATTTAAAGATGCCTACATCAGAAGAAGAAGACAACAGTCATAAATTATTCACATTTCATAGAACTAGATCATCAAGTAGCCCACTTCAGGTACACATTTTCTTTTTGTAAAATTCCATAGATAATCATTGAACTTCCTTCCAAATGGAGAAATAATTCTTCTTTCAATTCAAAGAATAATTTGTTTGTAAAACTTGAAGATCTCACCTTATTGTATAAGGCAGTGTTTCTCAACCTTGACAATTTTAAGGCATGTGGACTTCAACTCCCAGAATTCCACAGCCAGCATTGCTGGCTGTGGAATTCTGGGAGTTGAAGTCCACATGCCTTAAAATTGTCAAGGTTGAGAAACACTGGTATAAGGGAAAAATGTTGTAGATGTGTTTGAATAAGATTTGAACACAAACCTAATTAGCTATTGAATCCAGTATTATTGACCAAGTAGACTATTCCAGGAATAAGAAGTTCTTGGGAAAACATTATAATTGAACCTGTTGGCTTTTGGTACAGTTGTGGAAAAGTGACATTATTTTCTTCTGCAGTTGGGGGGGGGGGGTTTGGGGGCACTATATTGAAGTGTAAAGGAAAAGGAAGCCAAAAAACATTGATATTTTTTTTTGACTCCCCACTTCTGGTGGCCTTGTTTTTGTAACAGTGAAATATGAACTTCCTCAGATCAGGTTGTTTTCATTCAGATACCACATGAAACTCAGCTTGAAGTCTGATTTTTGAGTTGAATGGAAGAATAGCAAACACTGCAAGATTGCCTTTTTGAGTGGTAGAACTCAAGACTTCTTATGAATGGGAATGAGAACCTAATTCAGTACCGGACATCTTCAGATAGATTTGAAAAGAACTTCTCTCTGCATGGAAAATATTGAGCTGGCTGGATCAGTGCTTTGACTCTTTTAATTAGCTTCCAATAGAAAACTGATGTAAAAACCTTTGCAGTACAAGAGATGTCCACTCATACATCACTTTGAATTCAGCTTATTCCCGAATAGTTGAATATACATTGCGTCTTTTATAATCATAAGAAAACCCCTGGAAGATGGAATCAAAGTTCTGTGTCTAGTTTACTATTTAGTTTGTCAGTGCATCTCTGCTAGATACCTACAGGAAGCCTGGAAGTAAAACATAATGATAAGAAACAACTCTCACTATTTGGTAGAATCTGGGATAACTACTGTAGACAAGATTAGATTCACATGCTTCATTCTCGTTCCGATATAAAATGGTCTAATGATGAAAATCTATTTCACCTATCAAGGAAGTGCTAATGCTTGAACGTGTCTCGTAGGCATAACGCAAAAACATTTGCCTCTGGCTTTGCTATTTACAAATATAAATTAGACAACAATTACTGCTATGTTGGCCAAGTTCATGAGAATTTATTCTTAATCACGTCTACAGAGCTGAGGCAACAGAATATGTAGACTATTTCATTACTGCTATTTATGTAAATAACTACATTAGAAACAATTATTCCCTAAGTAAATGAAATAGAAATGCCTTGTTACCTTAACTTAAAGTTGGCATTAGATTATTTCTTTAGTGTGAACTCACAAATGGGAAATAAATGCGCTTCTTTCCAATCCAGCTCTTGGGTAGCCAGAGAATTTTAAGACTATAAATCTGTGTTTGTGTGCAATTGTTTAGATCATTGATTGTGGGAACTCAGATAGTGTACTTCCTGATCCATTTCCCCTTTCTAATCAGGAGATAGAAGCTATTAAGTTGTCCATTCAATGTCTTGGTGGGTTGGATCACAAAAAGGGAAAATATGTTTGTACATGATGTTTCCTCCCTTTGTTAACCTGAAACGATGGTGATGCCTTTTGAGAGCTGTATGGAAATGTACACAGATGCTAAATTTCCTGCCTTCCACAACTGTTCCAGGTATTTGGGCACAATCCATTTCTGGATTGGGTTGCCAGCTTTCATTATGTTTATTCCTCCTTTGGTCATTTTTCCCAGGAAGGAGCTCTGATGTCAATACACAGCAATTTTGTTGTGGTATTTCTTTCAAGAAGCGAACCAGCAAAAAAAAAAAAAAAAAGGTTATGAGGCTCCTCAACATGTTCTAATTCATTCACTGAAGTTGCTTTAGTAGTTGTCTCTGTTGACTATAGAAACTTAACAATTCAGATGTAGAAGTGGGATGGATGGGTGGGATTCTGTTTGAAGTAAAGTTTTCATGTAAGTGTTGCTCGAAGATAATATTTTTCTGCAGAAGCACCATAATTCAGCAAAATCCACATTAGGGGCTTTGGAGGTCATAATAATTTAAAAATGACTGCATGGAGAGATAAAGAAGAGCTGCCACTATCAAAGGAGAAACTATCTTAAACTTAGACTAATAGATTGACTTCACTAGGCTTGGACAGTTAGATCATTCATTCATTCAATTAACTCCCAAAGATTAAGAAAGACATTTAGCTATGCTACACTTCAATGTGCAAATTTATTTATATATATTGGGCTATATTTTCAATACACATATATGAATGAATAGATACTTTAATATTTTCTTCCTGTATACCAATATACAATAAATTTTACTGAAAATATTTGGAATTCACTAGCATAGACAATGGCAGATGAAAGAAGACTGGTTTGACACAGCCTTGTTCCTTGAGTACCGTACTTATTTGCAGGAAAATGTAATATGTGAATCTGCCATTACATTGAGTAGGTTTAAGAAAGCACCTTTGCCCAATCTTGCCTTTACTGCTGTTTTCCCTGGAGGTTTACTTTTACTTAACTGGATATCCCAGTTAAACTCTGGAGAGTTTGTTTACTGTTCACTCTTCCCTGAGGTAACAGAAGACACGTTACAGGATAAGTGAGATAATTTTGTTGCCAGAAGAAGGATATGCAGGTAGGATTAATGATGTAACAAAATGAACTAAGAATGATACAGCTGAAAATATTCCATGGTTTGATGGATAATAGGTGAACATAATGTAAACATGCAAAAGTTACCTTTGTTATCCATATTTTAACTTTTAAAAAGTGCTAACAGGAAATCTGCTTTGAAAAAAAGAAACACGTTTCGTAAGAGAGGGTAAGAGGATAACACGAATTGTCCACAATTTCATAACCTCTGTGGTCTAATGCAAAACATGCAGGCCACCATTGATGTGGTACAACCAAGTTAAAAGTAGCCCCAACTAAACTGTATCGAAAAGAAACACGAGAACCACCGTTGGTTTCATCTGTGTTTGGCATTGTCACATGGAAGTTAGTAAAAATTTAGTGGTTTATCGTAAAGGTCATCATTAATGAGGGGCAGCTTTAAGTGAGTGAAATCCTAAGCGTCTATTATTGAGCATCATTAGGAAGGAAGCTGTGGAAGTATTCGGATGCTAATATTGACTAACAAAGCATTCCTGCAAGAAACCTTTGCCATTGTGAGAATGCTTCAAGATGGATGGATTACAACTCCTAGAATTCTATAATTAGTGTGGCTATTATCATTTATTCTGGGACTTGAGATGTATAATCCAGACCAAGGATGGCTGCTATAGGTCTCTGCCTAGAGAATAGGACACTGTTTAGGTGGCGGTGTTTTGCTTTTGAGCAATCACCTGAAGAAGACAACGAGAGGGAACCAAAGCAGCAGCATTCTATTCACTGTAGGCAACAAAAGCTCATTGGTTTCATAGTGTCCCCTTGGCTGTGGAGATCTTTTTCTATTCCCCTGTAAGCAGGTAGCCTCTAGTCATAATTTCAGAGGGCTTGGAAGTTTTCATTAATGTGTAGCAAACTCTGATTGTGACTTTCCCTTCCCTTCTTTCTGTAGCTGCATCCATGCAATTACCATATCTGTGCCTTAGAAAAATAGCTTTCTTCTTTCTGGATTACTTTTATACTATTTCTCTTTAATATCATGATGCTATCTAACTTTATATTATAAAATGAGCAGCTAGCAATCTGAACCCATTTAATAAAAAATATTACCAGTGAAATATCACCAGAAATCAAGAAGGAGTATTTAACATACTTCCTGTTTTTGAAATGAATGTGTCTGTGTGTGAATAAACAAGTATGGAATTAATAGCTGAGAATTCCAAGGGCTCCTGTGCAAAACCAACTTCTAAACCTGGCAAATCATAACAATTGAAAGTATTCCCAGCTCCTATGAGAGCAAAGTGAATATTTTTATTTAGAACTGCATATGGTAACTAATACAGTGCATCTGTTTCAGTATTAGTTCACACAAAAAGATTGGTGATAGTATTACAAGTGGGATAGCAATCTCAGCCTAGATTATGAAAAGCAAGAAACTAAGGCCATCATTTGAACCTTGTAAACACTTCGAAAGGGAAACTATTCAGACTTGTTCTCATGAATCAACCATCTCTGTTTGCTTACAAATAGAATCCCAAAGTTGTGATGAGCTTTAGGGTGTGACTATTCTTGGCAATTATCAGGTCACAGAGTGCTTCTAATGAATACCAATCCTTACTCATTTCTGTAGGTTTTAGATAAAAAGGTCAGGCCACTGTTTACATTATATATCATGTGAAACGAGGGCAGCAGCCAGACGGACTTTTTTTTTTTTTTGTAATTGCTACCACTTATTTATTGACTGGAATAACGTCTGCCCTCTCCCTACCAAATAATGAGCCATATGAAAAACTTGGACCTGATAGAAAATGAAACCTTAAAGCTTCTGGAAATCATTTTATAAAATGTTCAAAGCTGAAATACATTCCTGTACCCTTTGATCTGTTCTCATTCCATTTTTGGATATTAGAGTGAAGATTGTTTAGGTGTTGAGTTGTCATCAAATGAAGCCTGTTAACTAATATAATTGGTTGCTTTAACAGCATAGCTTTTGCAGACAATAGAGTGTAAAGAGAGAACAATTATTGTAGTCTTCCAGTCATCAGCCATGAATGCAGTCTTCACAGCTACATTTAGCAAGTTGCACAGCCATTCCATAAGTAAATCACAACCATATTTTAAGATTTCTCCAGTTACACAATCTACATTAGTATCCTTACTATTTTTTCAGTACTCTCACAGCATTTATTATTTTCTTTCGATCAGTTTTTTTCTTGGACACCAACTCTTCGACATTGTTGTTGTTAGTTGCGAAGTTGTGTCCGACCCATCGCGACCCCATGGACAACATTCCTCCAGGCCTTCCTGTCCTCTACCATCTTCTGGAGTCCATTTAAGCTCACGCCTACTGCTTCAGTGACTCCATCCAGCCACCTCATTCTCTGTCATCCCCTTCTTCTATTGCCATCAATCTTTCCCAGCATTAGGCTCTTCTTCAGTGAATCCTTCCTTCTCATTAGGTAGCCAAAGTACTTGAGTTTCAACTTCAGGATCTGACCTTCTAAAGAGCAGTCAGGGTTGATCTCCTCTAGGACTGACCGGTTTGATCGCCTTGCAGTCCAGGGGACTCGCAGGAGTCTTCTCCAGCACCATAATTCAAAGGCCTCAATTCTTTTGCACTCAGCCTTTCTTATGGTCCAACTTTCATAGCCATATATTGCAACTGGGAAAACTGTGGCCTTGACTATACGTACTTTTGTTGGCAGGGTGATATCTCTGCTTTTTAGTATGCTGTATACATTTGCCATAGCTTTTCTCTCCAGGAGCAAGCGTCTTTTAATTTCTTGGCTGCAGTCCGTATCTGCGGTGATCTTGCCCAGGAAGATAAAATCTGTCACTACCTCCATTGCTTCCCCATTTATTTGCCAGGAATTGAGAGGGCCGGATGCCATCATCTTGGTTTTCTTAATGTTGAGTTTCAAGCCAACTTTTGCACTCTTCTTCTTCACCTGTGTCAAGAGGCTCTTTAGTTCCTCTTCACTTTCTGGCATTATAGAGTGGTATCATCTGCATATCTTAGGTTGTTGATATTACTCTTCAACATATTCCTATACAAATCTCTGAAACACCCTTCCAGCATTTCCTCATGACTGTTTCATCAGGAATCAATTTCATCAGTTTTCTTTTTAATTACATTCATTTCTACTGGTGATTTTTATTTAACCATCTTCGCTCAATTTTTTATTTTCATCAAAATCTCTCAGTTTTTTTCTCTGCTCTTTCAGCCATAATCCTCCAAGGAACAGCCCTTTCTTGTTCTGTTTGACAAGTTTATTTTTAATGAACTTTTTCTACATACGTACCATACAACACCTTTTCTTTTTCCATCACTTATTGTCTAATATTTTTGATTATTTCTCATATTTCCTGCTGGAAATCTAATATGTCTTTAATATTTTTTCATTCAAGACACATACTTTTTTCTTGCAGTTTTCTAATTTTCTCTACTTTTCTTTTATTTCCATTTTTCCCCCTTCACACTACGAAAAATTAAAAATGATTCAGAAATTTTTATTACCCTTGAATTCTTTACAGCAGACATGTCAAACACAAGGCCCGGGGGCTGGATGTGGCCCACAAAGTGGTTTCATGTGGCCTGCGAAGCCATCCTGGAAACAGTGAGGGAACGACCCCCTCTGCCCTGGCCCAGGCTGGCCAGGAGCCAATGTACAATTTTGTGCTGGCCATCTATGCTGAAACGCATTCAGTCTTAGCTCCACAAGGCCGTCTGGAAACAGCAAGGAACCAGGAGAACCTTGAGCAGCAGCCTTGGGGAAGTGGGGCTGGGTTTGGTGCCACAGGTGCTTAAGGGCCAGGCTGGGCATTTTACCTCTACTGCCCAGGGCTCCGGGCAGCCCGCACCACCATCCAGCCCCCCCATGGCCTGAGAGGAACAGTGAGGCTCCTCCATTGGACCATGCCTTGGCGCTTGCCCTGGTCCCACCCCTTTCTGCCAGAGACCCTCAGATCTGTCCCACTCCTACCCAGGCCCCCACAGACAACCTTGACACGAACGATGTAGAGCTGGCCACACCCACCCAGTAGGCCACACCCTCTCCATCCACACCTACCCAGTAGGCTGCACCCACCCTGGCCACACCCACCCGGCCCCCTGAGGGCAACCACAATGCTGATGCGGCCCTCAATGAAATTGAGTTTGACACCCCTGCTTTACAGTCATTCATCATAAATAATCATTTCAGCAATCACATTTTTAGATTTATATTCATTCTTTTGCAAATAGACTTAAGCTAAAACCAAATCTTCAAGCAAACAAAACTACAGTGCACAACATACTCATCAAGCAATTATCATTGATTGAGTGTTGCAGTTTTGCCAGAACTCGTCCCTCATTCTCACATACTGTTCTTTAGAATGTCATATGCAGCAATCCTAACTTAAGAGTTTCTATTCCCATATACAAAATGTGTATCTATGTGTTTGTGTTACCCTATTTTCTACAGCAGACTACACAAAATCAGAAGATTTCTGGCATAAGTATTATCACTTTTTTTCAAAATTAAACTCACATAGTCACTTTCTGACCGTATTGATCAACTTCTCAGTTAAATTGGATCTGTTAAATCTTTTCTCTTAGTTTGACAGGCAGACAGTTTTGGCCAGTTTTGGAAATGTATCTTAATCAATATACCTGAGTGCTTTTCTTTGTTAAAAGAAAGAAACCTCTCAGCCAATCATTAGAAGGGACCTGGAACAGTTTCTTTCATGCCTTATCCCATATCATGTCAAGGAACGTCCACTGCTGGTACTACTCCCTGCAGATCTTACCAGAAGTTCATCATTTTCCATGATCAGAACCATTTTGGGGTTTCAAGTATCCTTTACAAAAAGAGATCAGTCATTCTGGCAGCAGCTGCTATTTCCCCTGAGCAGATCTGACTCAGTGGAGTTAAGCAGTGTTCAGAATTACTGGAAGTCTAACCAGCTGCTCAAGAGAGAGGAGGCTGTCTACTAAAATCATGAAGAGCACTGTGGCATATCTGTGAGGTAAAATGTATGTCACACCTGCCTTTGACTGTGGTTTGCAGAGGACTATGCTGTGTAAAAAAAAAAAACTTAATAAAGTGGGAGGGTGCTGTTTTACAAATCCATAGCTACATATTTGGACTGTTTTTGACATGACGGTTGATTGCTTAATGACAGGACTACTGAAGACCAAAGAAGAACTAAGGGAGTCATATAGATCAAGAAAAAAATGCATAGTTAACTCAGGTTCACATTAGAGTGTTAAGCTCTTTGTCGCATCACTTTTTTTCTGTGGGGATGTAGGTGGTTTTGATCTATTTTAATTTTATGGAGTTTTATGGTGTTATATCTAAAATTGATTTGTACCATTCTTGGTTAAATTGTATTTTAATTCTGCAGAATACTCAAGGTAGTAATACCATTGAAAAAATTAGTTAAATTTTATCTTTGTCTGATGTTTGTATCACACTATATCATTTTGGGAATGTCCTGATTAAGGACCATTACCAAGGTCTGGAATTTTAAAGAATAAGTAAGGCGTTGCTTCATCGAAAAACTTACTGTGATGGATGTACAGTTTAGATGGCATTGGAGATCCCAGTCACAAAAATCTCTGTGGGTTTGGATGGTCAGTAAATGACTGTGTTTAAAAAACATACATAGTATTCCATGCCATAATGTATCTTTTCTGTCACAGAGATAGAAGGTTGTGTATCTTCGTAGGTTTTATAATTAGGGTTGCTGGAATTGCTGCTGTGAAAGTACCAGTTCTGATTGCCCAGCAGTAAATGTTAACAAATGGGTTAGAAGAAAGCAATACTTACCTCTATCAGCAAATTCCATGGTATGTTGACATTTTTGTCCTTCCTGATGACTGGAGGCAGCAAGAGATAGTTTGCAAGACTACAGAACAAGTTTATCACTTTCCAACACAGTGTTGTGTTCAGTTTTCAACTTTTGTAAACATTGCAAGCATAGACTGTAGTTAAGAAATGTGTTTCTATTGGAAGGCCTTTCACCTTTCCCCCTACATTTCTCTATGGAAGATTGATTCTCCTTTTGTGCATTAATGTAAAGATTTTGTTGCTTCTTTCTTGTTTTGGAACATTCTTAAGTGTTAGCTTGGTTTTAATGCACTGTTTTTCAGTTCATGACATGCAGAATAGAAAGCAGTTCCAAAGGCAGCAGCAGACTGCTAAAACACACAATGCCTGGTGTCTTAGAGGCCAAAGCCTAAAAAATTGAAAGGGTCCAGACAAACATAATTTATAATAATGTTAGAGGAGAAAGAGAAGAAAGACTTCAGGCACATATTCCCCTACAGCGTACCTAAAAGAGTACTTGGGAAGTTTTGCAGTTGTTATTTCTTCTCTTATCCATCAGAAGAGCCTTAAAAGATCTTAACATTCAAGCAGGGTGATATAGAAGAAGGCAGTCTTAAGATTCACTGATTCCCTTAGCACAGGACAATGGTGGCTGACATCATGTTGACTCTATCATGCATTTTATCATAATCCTGAATTTCATGTTACCTGCTGCACCCTATGATTCATATACTGAATAAATAACCACAGTGCAACATCAGAATTACTCTCATAGAAATATACTGAAAGTAACATGACAACCAGATCAAAAGCAACAATTAATACTCATCTTTTAGAGGCATAAAACAGAAGTTTCTTCCTGGTCACGTTTGCAAAGCTTTATAAAAGGTTGAGAGGACATTATAAACTTATCTTCTGCCATGACTCCTATTATTGTACCGATAGCAATTATAATAGAAGCCTTTGGAGAGAATAATAGATTCCTAATCAAAATGTCATGGTCCGTTCTTGTCCTGACAATCCGAAATTTAATCTTATAAACAAAGCAGATTGGAGAGAGAGTGCCAAGTTAATTAGAAAGCTGGTAACGAATTAGAGTAAACAGGTTTTTGGAGGCCAGGGTTGAGCTCTTATCGTTCTGACTGGTCTTTACTAAGAGACTTAAGCCCCTATGAGTACTTTGCTTATGTATTTTAGATGGCAATCCCATTGACTTCCCTTGGGACATCTGAGACAGGGACAAGTGATGATACAATTCCATACACATGTTTTAGGTACCTGAGATCAAGATACATGTACACAAGCCAAGGTTTGTGTCCATCGTCAGTTTATCATTGTGGTTTGTAAGGCAGCCTTTGGACGTCCCTCTTCTCAATGTCACACGGCTAGGTGTTAAGTAGTTGGAGAAGAAAAACCCTGTTTCTCAATTCTGCTCTCTCCTTTTTGTCTTTAGCATTTTAGCAACACATGGGATTCAGCTTTCTGTGGGAAGACGGAGGATCAGCTGACTTTCTCCGACCCAGCACGCAAATACATGGGTGCATTCTCAACTCGAACTCTGGTCATGTAAAAGTCCGCCAACAAGCATTATGTTCTCTTTTCAAAACACTCTAACAGTTGATTTGGATTTACCATTCTTCTACATGGGAGAAAAACATTTTTGTATATTTGTTTGTTTGTTGTTATGGTACAGCATTTGGGAGCAGCACAAAGTGCATACATTCACAAAAGCATATATTAATCAGGTTGGAATTTGCCCAACTTTAAAAGGGGAAATGGACAGATCAAAGTTCTCTTACACTGATGATGCTTTACTCTATTAAGTTATCAGGTATTGAATATTATGCAGTTATTAATAATGCAGATTTTTAACAACACAGTGATTTTAAATGATTAAAAATGTTTGGGGAGATCAAGTGCACAGTATTAATTCAGTGAAGAGTTGCTACCTGAGTTCCAGTGCCAATGAAAATGTTGTCTAGGTTTTTGTTGTTGTTTTTTTCCTTTTTGAGAGCTGGCACTCAATCAGTAGCTTATGCTAAAATCATTGAACAAATGTCTTGGTCTGAAATACTGCAGGAAAAGCATTACTGCAAATGCTACTATGAAAGTTAAGGCAGGGCCATACCTTGTCTGTAAATGCTCACTTAACCTTTAATTATTTGAAGTACTGTTCTACTTAATGGAGATCTAGATAGCTTCTCCTTTTTTTATTAAGAAAAGCTTGCTTTTATTTTTTTTTTACTACTGTATGAAGCATAGTTTTATGAAAACAAATTATATTTTTATTCAGTAATTTAATTTTGTAAATGCCAAATGGACTTTGGGTTGGGTTGTTTTTTTGTTTTTTAATTTGTAATGTTCTTTGCCGTTGCAGACTTGCAGCAGGTAGATGGACTACTAAAGAACCATAAAGATTTATATAAAAAAAGAAAACCCTAGTTGGGGAGCAAGTAGCTATCTTGACTATGCACTAGCATTTCTGATTTTTGCAATATTGTTTTGATGCTCCCTCTTTTCTTGGACAAGCAATATTTTGAAACACTTCTTGAGAGCTTTTATGTGCCTACGTGCATGTATTTTCAAAGGTTTTGAAAACATAGAATGCAGATCTTTAGTATTTTGGGAAAACACAATCTTGCTTATGTCTTCAATTACCGTCTTGCGTTCAAAGATTCCATGCTTGGACTCTGCACAGTTCAAAAAGAAAATTATGGCCTTGGGACTGCCATAATCTGAATTTTTCTCAGTGTGAAGAGAAAGTGGCTTCTTTTTTTATGTCAGACATCGCTGCCTTAATAGAATTAGGGGCAGCCTTGTCTGCACTTTTTATAATACACTGTACTGCCTTGTAGATAAATAAAGTGTGGCATTTTGTAAAAAAAATAGCTGTTTGTTTATTACCTTAAGATAAGCTGGCATTTTAGCAAACTCCTCAAGAATGTCCTTTGACTTATATCCATTTGTTCTGTTAGTTTTGCAAAATACTAGAATGTGCAAGCTTCGCCTTGTTTAAGTCTGAGCTGTTTCTGCCATTTCAAAACCAAAATAACCAAATTCTTGTTTCATACAGTACGAACGAGTCTGTGTAGAGAATCATTTTATTTTCTCATGGGACAATATGGCAAGGTTTTAATAGTTCTATCTACAGTCATTTGAGATGGTGAAACTGCAACTCAAATGTGTATTTTTCTGAACCTGTACGACTCCTCTGTCTGCCTTGGAAAAGGTGGGGTGCCTGTAAAGAGCAGCCAGAAATAGAGAGAAGGTACTCGTGGATCCCAGAGTACCCTAACCTGCTTTAATTATAGTACATCTCTAATGTATGTTGTGACTGGGTCACATGGTTTGCTTAGCCTTGGTTATGTCATAATTGGAAGGTTCATGCAATTAAACAGACATAAATTGTGGCATTAGGCCCACACCAAACAAATGCTTCCTGATTAAGGCAGTGAAGGAAACCAACCTCCAGAGGGGATGGTGGTGGGGCAACAGTTTGGGAATTGTTTAGGCAAAAATGTTACATGACAAAAATATTTAAGGGCTTTCCCCTAATTTTTTTTCATAGCTATCAAAGTAGAGCTGTCAAAGCTTGGCCTGTAATTTTAAAAGCAACTCAAGGGCCCTTGAAATTTCTGGTATCTATATACAAAAAAAGTGTCTTATTCCAGAATTTCTAGTTAACTAGTGGCTTGTACCATGGGACAGATCACGAAGATACAGGATTTGAGTTTTGATACATAATATTCCTACATTTGTAAAGAGATCTGTTTTGTCCAAAGTATTCAACACAATAAAAGCCAAGTAAGCCTGGACTGTTTTTAACCTCAAAATGGCTTCTAAAAGGTGCTTTGATACAACTCTGATCTTAATTACAATTGAGGTGTGTTGCAGCTTCAGAAGAATTTGTCAAAATCTCTGAAAAAGCAATGGTAATTCAGCCTTTGCAGAATATATTACAAATTACATGGCATAACCAATTCCCAACCTATCCATGAGAATATTGCAAGAAGATTATTAGGGAAAACCCATTTTATCATATAGCAATGTACTGTGCATCTTTTATATCCTAAATTACTAATTATTTACAATATAATTTGCTTCACATTTTTTTATGTAATTCTCTATAAACATCAGATAGGCATTACACCGAGTTTTCAATGAATTTTATTAAGAATTATATTAAACAGATAAAAATATACAAAACTCTAAAACAAAAATATATTAAAAAAGAAATATTAAAAATTAACTCCCCAAAAAAGAGAAATAAAAATAAACCTTCCCCCTTCATCCCCAGCAGTATATTCAACATTACCTTATTACTATCTCTTTAAAATAAAACTAAATACATCTTCATTTCATAGGCAAGAAAAACCAAATGTACAGGTATAGTATAGGGCAGTGTTTCCCAAACTTGACCATTTTAAGGCATGTGGACTTCAACTCCCAGAATTCCACAGCCAGCATTGCTGGCTGTGGAATTCTGGGAATTGAAGTCCACATGCCTTAAAATGGTCAAGTTTGGGAAACACTGGTATAGGGGATACCTTGTTCTATAGTAGTAACTGAGACAATCACTTAAATATGAGTCAGTGTGCTGCAGCTGCCAAAAAAGCCAACTCAGTTCTGGGCTGCATTAACAGAGGGATAGAATCAAGATCATGTGAAGTATCAATACCACTTTACAATGCCTTGGTAAGGCCACATTTGGAATACTGCATCCAGTTTTGGTCACCACGATGTAAACAAGATGCTGAGACTGTAGAGTACAGAGAAGAGCAACAAAGATGATTAGGGGACTGGAGGCTAAAACATAAAAAACAGTTGGTGGAATTGGGTATGTCTAGTTCACAGGTCGGCAACCTGCGGCTCCGGAGCCGCATGCGGCTCTTTGAGCCTTCCCCTCTGGCTCCCAGCCTCCTCTGCCTTTGCAGAGAGAGATAGAGACAGAGAGAGGCAATTGCGCTTCCCTGCTTCTCTCTCTCTCTCTCTCTCTCTGTGTGTGTGTGTGTGTTTGTGTTTTTTTGTGTGTGTATGTGTAAAAGAGAGTGTACTCACAGTGTTCTCCGAGGAGCTGAAAAGCTTTCTGGGGGAAGCTCCTCCCTTTGCTGTCTCTGCAGGAAGCAGGAAGCAGGAAGGGCAGGAGAGAGCTAGCTAGCCCAGCTAGGCTGACTCAGGAATTCTGGGAGTTGAAGTCCATGAGTCATGAAAGAGATGAGGTTGCTTACCCCTGATCTTGTTGGACAATAGCTTGAAGCTTGCCAGGTGAGCAGCAGATAGGAGGGAGGGGAGAAAGAGAGAGAGAGAAAGAGAGAGGGAGGGAGGGAGAGAGAGAGAGAGAGAGAGAGAGAGAGAGAGTGGGGGAAGAGGAGTGGCAGACCAAGGGCAGATAGAGAGGGAGGGAGGGAGAGAGACGAGAGAGAGAGAGATCCTTTTGACATCTAAAATGAAGATAACACTGCATATATCCTTTTTTTAACCTGTGTGTGTATGTAATTTTATTCTCTTAAAGCATTCTCTTGGTGATCATTGTTTTAATAGTATGGATATTCCCAAGAGTCATATTTTTACTTTTTTTTTAGTGTGTGTGTGTGTGTGTGTGTGTGTGTGTGTGTGTACACACACACATACATACATACACACACACATGCGCGCGCACACACACACACACACCTATAATAAAGGTAAAAAAGGATATATGCAGTGTTATCTTCATTTTAGATATCAAAAGGGTTTTGCGGCTCCCGGTGTTTTGTTTTTGGTGGGAAATGGGTCCAAGTGGCTCTTTGAGTGTTTTGGGTTGCCTACCCCTGGTCTAGTTTAATGAAGAGAAGGACGATGGGGGACATGATAGCAGTGTTCCAATATCTCAGGGGCTGCCACAAAGAAGAGGGAGTCAAGCTATTCTCCAAAACGCCTGAGGGCAGGACAAGAAGCAATGGATGGAAACTAATCAAGGAGAGAAGCAACCTAGAACTAAGGAGAAACTTCCTGACAGAACAATTAACCAATGGAACAACCTGCCTCCAGAAGCTGTGAATGCTCCAACACTGGAAGTTTTTAAGAAGAGACTGGACAGCCACTTATCCAAAATGGTGTAGGGTTTCCTGCCTGAGCAGGGGGTTGGACTCAATGACCTCCAAGGTCCCTTCCAACTTTTTAATTTATTATTATTATTATTATTATTATTATTATTATTATTATTATTATTACTACTACTACTACTACTATTATTATTATATCCATTTTCTATAAACTCATCTCTAGATCTTCAACTCTCCCTATTAATCAGCAAAGGTGCAGTCAAAATTAACAAAATACCTAACTACATAAGTAATTCCAATTAATATACCATGACAATACCAAATAGTTGAAATTGTTCTGTTATATTACAATACATGCCCCGCCTCTTAGTATATCAAAATATCTCATTCAAGTGCATAAAAGGTTGAATTGATGTCCCCTGTAGTCATCTCTATCAATAGTGCAAACTGATGTTCTTTACCCATTCAGTTATTGAAATCCCATAGTTGAAATTTTGAACTGATAGGTTCAACAGAGTTGTGTTCAAGAATTCTTACTCATTTGCTGATGATACACAAAAAAATTCAATAGCATGTTGCAAAATTTCCCTACTCTTTTCCGCCACTATTAACTGGCATTTATTTCTTCCATAGCTACCCATATAGATTATAGATTACGATAACGAGACTGATCTGTAAATTTAGATACCAATTTAACTACAACCTGATTGTGGTGTCCCTATTAATTCTTGAGTTTTGAAGCAAATTAGAATGGATCCTATTGGATGACTCTAATCATACACAGCTGGACAGATCTTGAGAAGAGGAGAGTAAAGAGCTTTATTCCTTATCCTGTGCCATATAACTAGAGAAGTAGAAAAACAGGGTGAAGGGAGGGTTAAGCACTGCAATAAATTATGCCTTTCTCCTGCTACCTGTTAAGAAGTTTGGTAAAGATTCGGGTTCTCAGACTAGAACTACTCAGATGAGTTGTGAGTATAATAAAATAGCCCAGCTGTAGTGTAGTAAAATAGCCCAGCTGTGTCTCTTCTAAGTCTCCCTCCTTAAATTACAACTCTTTAACATGTTGGTTTGCTTTTCACTTCCTTTTTAAATAGAAGATGTTGGTTCTAAGATAGCCACTTAGCTTGGCCATCAGTGTTAGACTTCCCCAATGATCACATTCTTTTAATGTGATAAATTTATATACTCCTGTCCTCTGCCTGTCCCTTTTTTCATATACACACACCAGAGAATTGCATGGCATTTTTCACTATTAACAACTCTTAGAAGCAATAGAAGAAATTAACAATAGCAAACTAGTTGTAAAAACAAATAGTCATAGTTGCTGGAAGGAAAAAAAATACAAAAGCATGTTATGTATGCCACAATGAGCTCTGGAAGGGAATGGGGGGGTATAAATCT